TAAATTATAAAATGCGCTGTGATTTTAATTATGCATTCGAACAGCTTCCTTTACACTTTTCAGTTTTCATTAACAAACTCACCAGCAGATCTAACACAAAGGAAATAGGAAGTAGGCCAGTGTAGGGGGAGGCTTTATAATTAAAACTTAAACGATGATTATTGCTCAAGTTGTTATTGACAACAATTTATTTACTTTTAATTAGAGCGCAAATTAATTACACATACGCATGGCTCTAATTTCCTTACTCACCATCATCGTCATTATTCTTCTTATCATTTATTTTTTATTAATGGTTTTTTTTTGGTTTGTTTGCTACGCGTTGTTTTTCATCAAACGACTGCTAATTATATTATGGCTTTAAATTATTTATTATGCTTACATTGCTTGGATCTCAGCTTTCAATTTCATGCAGTATTTATTCTGGTCTGGCTGCCTGCCTGTGCGTGTGGGTTGCGCGTGGGTTGGCACTGACAGCCGAAGAGAATTCTCGAAATGCCTGCTGCTAATTGAAAATAGGATCTAATTCAAATGTCGTATCCTATTTCACGCTTAGCCCACAACTATATCAACACTTTAAGAACTATTAAAGCTCAGTGTGCCGTATGATCTGTGCTGACAAATACAAGACTCGCACTGAATGCCTTCAAAATAGTTGAAACTAATTTGTGTTTCATGTCTGACATTATTGAGACATCTTCTTTCAAAATAAGTCTGCATTGAGCTCAAGCAAACATACATATTTGATTGAATATATATATTTATGGCTAAGCAAATACATTACTTAAAATGAAAACTAAAATTTACTTTAGGCTTCGAGTTCGTGTTCAATTTAAGTCGAAGTCGAAGTGGATTTAAAGTCTTAGCAAATGTACATACATATGCATACAGACATTTGCTTATATATTATAAATAAACTGCAAACATAGCTTCACTAGCGAGTGATACTCGTAGCTTTTAAAAAATTTATTTTTTTTGGCTTCGGGCTACTTGTTCCTTGTAGCAAATATGCCGCTGGGCATCCACATTTTAGCTTGTACTAAATTATTATTAAGTGCCTTTCATTATAAGTTTACAGAAGACACAAACACACACACTTACGCACTGGCAGCGGGATAGAGAAAGACGCTTTTAGCTCCTCTGGAATTCTTTAAAGGCAATTCGTCAATGTCAAAATTATGACAGTGGGCACGATTAGGTGTGCGAGTACTTTTTGCGCCTGCTGTTGCAATTTGTTGTTTGTGTGCCACACCCCGAACATTTGCCGACTTGCCGCCTTGCCGCTTGCTACTTGCCACTTGCCACTTGCCATTTGCCACTTGCCCCATCTTCAGGCAGTTTCCAGCCCACTTGCCTCACTTATCTACAGTCTCAAACCAATTTCTGTTGGTTGTCTGCCTTTCTGTCTTTCTGTCTTTTAGCCTTCTGTCTTTTGCCTTGCGGCGCGAATCTGCGGAATGCCGTCTCCTCTATCTTTGCGCCTAGCGTTTTGCCTCTTGCCTCTTGGCCTTGTCGCTTGCCGCTTGCCGCTTGTTGCTTGTTGTTGGCATGACGGAAATAAATTGTTATTAATGCGTTTGGTTCATACAGCGCCTTCGGCTTTAGTCTTTCATTCAGTTCAGTGCCACATTCAATGAATTATTTGAAACGCGCGCTAAATTCTAAATGGCTTTAAGTGTGCGGGTGCGACGCCAAGCCCGAATAATGCGCGGCAATTTAATGTGGCTGCCACTTGTTGAGGAGGACACGACGCGTCCATAAACTGTTTACGGCTGCCGTCAAATTGATTTGTGCCAGGCAAACGAAGCAAATCAATTGCACTGTTTGAGCCATGGTAATCATAACGCGACTCAATTGACGAGGAAACACAAAGATGTCCTCCTGGCTCGCTTCCTTCCTGCAGTCACAACTGCCAACTGAAGAGCGTCAGAACGTTTTAAAGGAAAATCAGCAACAGTCACAGACGCTGCACACACGGAGAGCTCGGCTAAAGCCCAAGTAACGGTAAGAATATAGGTGTATAAAAAGAAAATAAGGACAAAAAAAATAAAGTGAAATGTGCTCATAAAAACGACATGAACATTTCTTGAGAACAACAATATAGACGAATCAGAACTGCTAGGAAAATACACTAATTCGATCGCTAAGAAAACTTAATTTGATCATTATTATCATTAGTATTGTTCTAATTATTATGTATATTATTGTTATTACTAGTAGTTCTGTTAAATTTGCATATACTATTTTAACTATAATTACTATTTGTATTAATATTACTGTCATTTTTATTACTCATTGATATTATCATTATCATTATTATTACTAATTGTTGTTATCATTATCATTAGTATTACTCATTGTTTATTTAATTATCGTTATTATCACTCATTGTTCTTATTATTATAATTATTTTTACTCATTGCTCTCATTATTATCATTATTCTTACTCATTGCTCTGATTATTATCATTATTATTACTCATTGCTCTCATTATTATTATTATTACTCATTGATCTCATTATTATCATTATTATTACTCATTGTTGTGTTTATTATAATTTTTATTACTCATTGTTTTTAGTATTATCATTATTATTACTCATTGATATTATTATTTTCATTAATATTACTCATTGACATTATTTTTGCTATTACTCATTATTGTGATTAGTATCCTGTTTATTACTCATTGCTGTAATCATTATTATTTTTGTATTACTCATTGATATTATTATTATCATTAGTATAACTCATTGCTGTTTTATCATTATTATCTGCTGTATTATCATTATTAATATTATTATATATAATTCTAATCAAATTCTATATATTCAAAGGTTAGTCCATATGTAAGCTCTCTTCTGGGCAGTCAAGCTCCATGCTGTAGCTTGCATATTGTTTTAGAGAGTATCAAAGGGAAGATGACCGCAAGACTCGAGACTCGTTAAATTGTGTACAGCTTCCGTTGAATGTGCCACGCCCCTCTTCTGGCATTCTGTAGGCAGCGTGGTTGGCCGCAGCCATAATAAAATCGCAGATTGCCTCGTTTAACGCTTTGCAGTCATCCTGAGCCTGATGCTCACCCTCAAGCTGATGCTCAGAGGCTCATCATCGTCGTCATCTTTGGTATCGTTGTCAATGTCGTTGCCCCTGTTGTTGTTGTTGTTGCTGATGTTGTTGTCCTTTATTAGCATTTTACTGTGCGTTGGCCGAGGAATTTCGAAACAGATTTCTTGGCCAGATTGTACGGCGCTAACAGTTCATTACCCAAATGACTGCTGTGGGTGGCAAGGTGGGCGGGGATAAGGTTCAAGATTCGGGGTTAGAGCCGGGCTTGGCCACTGCTGAAAATGTTCCTTTTTGTCGCATTTTCGGGCCAAGTCGAAAACTTTTGGCCATCTTTCTTATGCATATTGCTCTCATAGCTGACGTCGCTCAGTAATTTTCTCTTTAAAACTTTTCAACTGAACTTTTTTAGCCAGCCACGCCCCCACCGCGAACTGACTTGGATTGGGTTACATGACATATGTATATGTGTGTGCATCTATGTATGTGCGTGCACTTATTTATTCTAGTTTGGGCAACTCTTGTGCTGCCAAGGGAGCTGCAAAAACTTTTTAATAGTTGCTCATACAAAATCATTTACGAGTGCCTTTTATGTTAGTGTGTGTATGTGTGTGTGCGTGTGTGTGTGTGTGTGTTGTGCCCAGTGTGTGCTTAGCATATGTAAAATAATACAGAAACTTGATCAAAGTGCCAAATTTGCAAAGCACAAAAATTGTACAGCAAATGTTAACAAGGATCTGCAGAAGCACTTTCAGGACTTAGCTGAGGTCCTCATAGTATCGCAACAATTACTTTAAAATAGCTAAGGTTGTGCTGCAAACATCTCGAACTTTGTCAAGCTTTAAATACTTGACTGGACATAGTCCTCGACACAAATGTTGCAGCAAGCAGACATTCTGGCTATAGATTCCCAGCATTCTGTCTAGTGCTGCCCGGTTTCGGAGAACTCTTGATAACAACTGTGTCATCAATTCTGAGCTTAATTTATGGTGCAACTACGGCTGCAGGCCGTGCTTGGGTTTTATCATTGGAGCCCCTTCGGATAATAACTTAATATCCATAAATTCATTTCCTTTTTTGTATTTTATTTGCGTGTTGTTGTAGCTGCTTTGGTCTCGCGACTGAACTTCTGCCAACTGAAAATACTTGCATGTGTATGTGTAATTACAATTACGCGAAATGCCTCGACAAAGCCGTCGTGGTGGCATGCCACAAGCCGGCGGCATGTAGATCGGCGTGCTGTGCGAGGCAATGTGTGGTGGGTGTTAACAATACAATTACGAGTGGGCCGGGCCAACTGATGCGGCAGAAGGGGATACGCATAGATAGCATGCCATGGCATCTGTCACGGTCACGGACAGGGCCACGGGTCTGTGTCTGTGCCTGTGCCGGTGTCGGTGTCGGTGCCGGTGCCATAACCCAGGCATAGGCATGTGCCCGGGCCACGGCCAGGGACACAACGAATTAAACTTTCGTGTGTGCTCAACTTTAGCGGAAATTCCATTCAATTATCCATTTTTTCCCTCCTTGCTTTCTGCGCTGTGGGCTCACCTGGAATCGATAGCAAGTGACTAGTCAACTGAATGCATGAGTACAAACGAATTGTCCCTGCGGTGTTTTGTAGGCCACACACATTTAGCGCTTTCCCAGTTAAATCCATTTGTTTGCCAGCTATTTGTAATTAGATAGCTACAGAACTGAATGCTTCACACTTGTGCTCCTATTTGACGACTTTAAAAGCAAAGCCGTTGTCTGAATGCCTAATCACAGGGTATCTTTGAATTGAGCCTTTGAGGCTTGTCTTATTCGATTTCAAATTGGTTCAACAGAGCCCAAATGCTACACATTGACCTTTTGATATAATTTCTTTTTAATATTGAACGAGATGGGTTGAGTTAAGTGTGTTTGACTTTGTTGTTATCCTCTGCTTGCAGGCGTACATACCACAGCTATCGGGCATTGGACTGTGCGTGGTCAATTTGATGGATGACATGCAAGAATATACGCGAGGATTGTTTCTAATTATGTATGTTCGACGACAACAAAGTGTTCCAGCACAAATATATTGAACAATTCGCTTTGCAGGTACTGCGGTCCGGCCGTCCTGTTGTCCTATTTATATATACGCACCTCACAGGAGCTTCGCCCGCCGGATGGACCCTTCGCTGTCATGATGTATGAGCATCGCGTCGATCTACGCATGAGACAGAGGTATGTATGTCTACTATTTAATGGCACTTTCCAACACTAAACGGCATAGTGTTAGTCAAAATTTATACTAGTTAACATCGAATGCTCAGCTGTAGGCATTAATCAATTGAGCTTTAAAGGCATGACAGAGAGTGAGATAGAGAGAGAGAGCGCTCTCTCACTCTCTCTCTATCTCTCTCTGGAGTATGAGTGAGAGGCAGAGTCTGCATTATACAATATACTATATTTTCATCAAGGACATCCCTTCGCCACCAAAGAGCTATCAAATAACAACAGTATTAATAATAATAATATAATTATTATTTCTAGCTGAGTTGATTATAATTGGATTTATTGGCATCGAATGGTATATTTAGAATGTTTATGAAATTTCCAAGAGGGCCTCGACCTGAGGCGCGTGCCATTAAATTGAAATATTAAGCGCCTGTTTGGCCCGTTGGGTATAGTCGGAAAAAATGTGGGTTCATTATTCATTTGGTTGTTTTGGCTTCGATTTGGGTTACAGTTGCTAATTGCGCTGATTAATTTTTCGAACGGATTGAGACTGAACGCTCCGGGCGCTGTGGCAAAAGGTGGGCTGGGCCTGGGCGTGGCCATGGTTACCATAAAAGGCCAACGGGCACCTGCGTTAGCTCTGGGCTTCTCCATTGCTAATGAGCTCAATTTCAATCCAATGGCAGTTTAATGACTTCGATTTCCTCAACGACTTTGCCGCATTTCTCTTGCTCACCTATCGCTTCTTCTTCTTCTTCTTCTTTTTCTTTCAACTTCTTCTCCTTCTTTTTTGTTTGGCGCGGCACAGGAACTCGTCCGCTTCGTCGGAGCCGCGTACACATAGCGGCGGAGGCGTGGCTGGGCTAAGCAACGGACACGGCACCAGCTCCCGCTCTTACGATCTCTACAGCGCCGAAATGGACGTGTGCCGGGAGAAGCGCAAGCAGCGCAACTTTGGCAGCATGGCCGCCACCCAGGTGGTCTGTCTGTGCCCCTTGATGATACTACGATTCGCACGTCTCTCGCTCGAGGAAACGTACGAGAATCAAAAGCATTTCGACTTTACCTACTTGATGTTTGTCTGGGTCGCATTCCTGCCCACAGTCATATTTCCCTGCATCTATGCCTCACAGATATTACCTAGGTGAGTATTACAGCACCTATTGGGGTGGGGGCTACGAAGCTTGTCCCGTTTCCTTGCACTTTGCGGGGCAATTTCCCTTGAATCACTTTTCACTTTCGCTAAGCTTGACAAGCTTGAGGAAGCAAGAGCAGACAAAGGTTTACTCACCACTGGTATTATTTCTTATGCTATGCTTTGGCTCTCCTTGGCCAGAGATGAACAGGAGCGTTTACGCGGCTATTTCCGGCTGTCGGCCAAGCGAGCGTCTAAGCCGCAGCGTCGCAGCAATGCAGGCAGCTCGCATGAGGACTCTATTGAAAAGGATGAGCACACCAATACAACGAGTATTGTGGGTAAGGGTCAAGCCCAGGCACCGTCAGATTCGCAGAAGCATCCAACCAAGGGGCACGCAGTGTCCGCGCGTCATGAGCGCAGCCAGGGTCATGGCTTGGGTGCCACGGATCGCTACAGCGGTGCGCCCTACAGACAGGGTCAGTCTGGCATCAAGGAGCGAGATCGTGAGCGGGACAAGGAACGTGAACGTGAACGTGAACGGGATAAGGATCGGGATCGGAACCGGGATCGGGATCGAGATCGGGATCGGGAACGGGATCGGGATCGGGAACGTGAGCGACAGCGCGGCATATTGGGTGGTCGCGGAGCTGGGGATGCGGGCATGGTCAACAATCTAAGCAAGAATATGCGCGGCAAGAAGCACGACGTCAAGATCAACATAATCTCGGATGGGCATGCATCCACTGGATCGGCGCGCAAACAGCCGCCGAGCACTAGCAGCAACAATAGCAGCCGCACCATCAAGGCCGCCTCGTCTTCCGGCCCGGCTCGCCAGAAGCTGGGCGTGGAGTACATGTCGGTGTCGAACAACTCGGTGTCCAATCTGACCGCCTCCACGTACTGCAATGGCAACAACAGCGCCCTGTTGGACGACAGCGGCACCAGCAACTACGGCGATGGCGAGGAGAGTTCCGTGGTGAGCAGCATGATGCATCCGCCCCAGCGCTGGCCCAACGTGGGCGGACTGCGAAACAAGGATGTTTCGTTCAGTGAGTGCAGCAGCACCTTCTCGTCGAGCACGCTGGACCGCGACTTGGAGATCATCGATCTGCTGGAGCGAGAGCGCAGCATGGACATACAGGAAATGATGCAGCGCGAGCAGCAGGACGACAAGATCCGTCTCTCCATTGGCGGCGTTGGCCGTCAGCTGCCGGACATTGAGAAGTTGTATGCGCAGCGCTCGCCAAAAACCAAACGTGACTCCAGCTATGGCTATGACAAGAGCGGCCTGGCTCTGGTAATGCCCGGCAGCGATCCGCTCAGCATGTCGCTGTCGAGCAGCAGCCAGCCCACTGAGTACAGCCTGTGCTCCAATCTGCAGGAGCAGCAGCACATGCATCAAGCTCAGCAGCGACTAGGCCACTTGCAGCCGCAACAGCAGCAGCACCAGCATCATCAGCTAGACGAGGAGGAGGTGCCGCAGGACTTTTACGACAGCTACACACCCGGTGGAAACAACAATTTGCCACGCTCAGCCATGGTGCAGGCCCCACAGGCCGCTCAGCCCCCGCCCGCCTATCAGTATCAATATACGCGCCGCTTGAGCCGCAAGAGCTCGGGCGCCGGATCCCATCATGGACCGGGTGGTGGCACAACGCGCGGCTCCAAGCGCGATAGCTTCAATTCCCTCAACGGCACCGATCTGATTGCCGGCGCATTCTGCGAGCTGGACCCCACACAGCCCCTGAACAAGATGACCGGCCTGGAGGGACGCATGCGGCGCAGCAGCCCGAGGAACACCAGCTTCAGTTCCAGTTCGGCGCGCAGCTCAATGAAGTCGCGGGACTATGGGCACGGCTCGGCGCACTCAGCCCATCCGGAACTCGACTTCAGGGAGAACATATTTGCCGAGCTCTAAGCTCCCTCCAAGCAAGAAATGCAACTGCATTTCCTTCATTTTTTTTATATATAAATATATATACAGCTAGTATATATATATATATATATATATATAAAGCGTAAGTATTCGCAACTTGGCGAACTACCAAAACTTTTCGAACCAAGCCACTTTTTTTTCTACTTGTTAGCTTAGGGGTACACGGAATGTACGAGGCTTAGGTAAGGAACAAAACACAGGTCAGCGTTCGGACAAGGGAGAATTACGTCGAGGCCGGCTGCAAGTATTGTAGGAGCGTTTTTTAAGCAGGTTTAGGACAAATTTTAACACGAATGGCAAATAAACCAATTTTATTCCACAAAAGTGGAAAATATTTCCGTATTCTCAATGTACAATTAAAATAAACATAGAGTAACAGATGCTTATATACACGTAATACTAATCAAAAAATATGATTAATTTCCAAAGCACAAAGATACATTGGGAGGTGAGAGGAAAATGGATGTGAAAACGATGAATGAAAAGTCATGTATTTTTTAACGATCCATGAAAATTTGCTCAGCAAAGTTGTTAAAGAGAAACGAACAAATGAAATGCGATTGACATATTTTTAAAGAACTTATTCAATACAAAAATATCAAAAATTACAAAAATAACTAAAATATATTACAAATATGAAAAGTTAAATAAAGTATTTATATTCCTCCACAACATGGAAAGAAAAAACAAACACAAAACAAAATTAAGCCGAAAAGAAATAAATAAACTGTTAGCAGAATTCATGTTACATACTATATATTTATTAATGTTGTTATAAGTCGCAAAATATTTTTAAAACTCAGCTAAAGTGAAAAAGTAAACAAAATATTTAAAGCATCGTCGAGGAGCATGCGAACTGTGCCAAGCAATAGCACTACAGATATCTCTTTAAAACAAGTTTGAAAACTAAAACAAATATATTCCATTTGTGTACCTAGTCTCTATAGCAAATTTGTAGCGTAAGTGCACATACAGCCGCGAGGCACTGTATGTTGTTTGTTAACCTAACCAGAATTACGTACTATTTCGCTTGCGTGCCACTGTCAACGGCAACTCAAGTTGCAAGCACACGATACGAAGAACAAAAAACAAACATACATAAATATTATACTCCATATACAAAATATACAATATAAATATTTATGGTGAAATATTGTGTAACAGTTTTTTTTTAAATATATGAAATAAAAAACATTATGAGAAATTTTAAAGCTGTCATAAAATAATCAGAAAAAGAAAACAGTTTACTGAACGTTATCAATTACAGAATAGAAAGCAAATGCAAAAAAAATTAATATATAATTATATATATATATATATATATATATATATATATATATATATATATATATATATATATAAATTGAACACACTCACATATATATATATATGTATTATAATACACAAAAAATTGCATTCGAACAAATTTGCAATTCTTGTGAGCCCCGAGAATTGCAATTCCTTATTTGTACTATACACACGCTATATATATATGTATATATATAGGGATATATTATATTAGCTCTAAACAATATCAAACCGACTGTTATACGCCCCCAACCAATTTAAGTCGATTCACGTCTGAATTGCTATACTATTCCTACATATATATACCTATATATATATATATATATATATATATATATAAACGACATAAAAAGAAGAAGAAGAAATTAATAATACTTGAGCAGCAAATAAGACAGGCACAAAACAAAAAAGCAACAACAGGAATTCAACCAAAGTCCAACAAAGCCCCATAAAATTTAAGTCGCCCCCTCTAAATAAGTATATATATGTACTATATGTATAAATATCTACACACATACATACATACATGTATTTCTGCTTATATTGAATACTGTTTATTTTTTCGTTGTTGTTGTTTGGTTTTTTGTATTGGTGTATGAAACAAAGAGAGAAACTAATAAAAAAATTTTATGTGAGTTAAACCCACAAAAAAAATTGCTGCATTGGTGCGTTTTTATTTGTATTTGAACTGCGCACAGTGGAGCAAGGTACGTGAATATGGTTATCACAAAAAGTAAGAATTAAATCTTAAGTCGAAAATTGCATTAAATTTTTATTATTTTAAGCTAAGATATAAAGAATACATGTATTTCTTTATATCTTGGCTTAAAATAATAAAAATTAATAAATTAAATAAAAAATTAATTAAATAATAAAATCAATATTTTGATTACATCTATTATAAAAACAAACTAAAATTTGTATATTGCTTTTGGGCACATTTTTTGCCTACTTAGGCCACTGTAGCTGGCACGCCATAAAAAGGCTGATGCCTGCTGTTTGTCTTTCGGCACCAGCCTAGGTAAATTGCTTATAGTATGCGAATGCGGATGCCATTGGGGCGTCGGAGCTAGCCAGGAGCCACAGCTGAAGCTATTGGAGCTGGAGCTGGACCTGAATCTGGAACAGATGGCATGTGGCCCGTCGCCTCAATTTAATCTGTGCAAATGCAAAAGAGTAAAGGGTGGCCGAAATAATTCGTGGCGCGAGGATTGGGTGCAAAAGTGCGTGTGTGTGTGTGTGTGTGTGAGTGTGCAATGAGGTCAGTGTGCGAGTTCAAAAGTTCAACGCTGGGGTTTAATAGCCCCAAATCGGATGCTGGTCGCCTGGCATACTGCTCTATGTAGTTACTGACCACTTTGTCTCTCTCTCTCTCTCGCTCACTGTTTCGCACGCTCTCACTCACTCTGTCTGTCTCCGTGCTCCAGTTACGGCGGCTCAGTTGGCAGCGCCGCAGTGGAGGCTTGACTTGTGCCTTTTCAATGACCCAGTAAAATGATTAAGTACCGTTATTTAGCAGCTACCGCGTTACGGGCAAACTCGTCTGCTCGTTCCGGATCATGCAACACGTTCGAAGATTTTTCGACTTTTTTATTATATGTATTATTATTTTTATTATAATTACTTCCTTTTTTGTTCTTTTATTGTTTTATGGATGCTTGCAGAATCGTTAAATTGTTGCTTAAAAATGGCGAAATAAACAATAACTTCGTCTATAAATTGGACCTTTTTTTATCGAAGTCAGTTGCCTCATTGCGTTCCTTTGAATGGTTAAAGCATGCGATTGGGCAGAGTCGGCCTAAAGCCGCGCAAGGCCGGGCAGCGGCAGCTGGCATTCTGTGAATGTAAAAAGACTATCGACACGGCTGAGTTAGTTATTTACATCAAACTTGACGCTTTTCTGACCAATATGCTCATCATGCGCTGCGTTTATCTCGCCCTTCATCACATGGGCGGCTGTCGGCTGTCGGCTGTGCCTGGAGTGCAGAGCCAAATATAAATATTGCAATGCGTGCAGTAGGCCAATATATGGAGTGCTGACTCTTCAACGGTTCTTGTATCTTCATTGTCGGCTCATTGGCTTAATTGCGAGTGCGTGACATGGGCAGGCGCAGGCGACTCGATATATATTTACATGTGAACTTTTGTATGGTCTGTGGGGGCACATACGTGCCGTGCCGTTGGGACAAATGACATACATACTTATAAGCAACTTTCAATCATATGAAATGCGCTTTCGATTGCGATTGCGATTGCGTCTGCGAGACAAAATGAAACGCGCGCGCGACCCAAACGTAATGTGAGTGTATGTGGATCACGTATACGCCATGTGTGTGGGGCAGCCGCTGGCTGACCACTTGACACATATGTGCATGTGTGTGCGTGTGCACTCGTAATAGTTTTCTTTCATAATCGCTTTGGCCAACACAAGACAATTTGAAAAGTTGGCAACGACGCGACGTTGAGCCAATTGGCAATGCAATTGCCAATGCAATTATGGAGAGCGTCATATCTGTTTAGCCTTAACCTCGCTCTCTTATCAGTGCCGCACACAGTCCGGCTTTTGTACACTTTTATTGATATCGAAAGAGCGTTGCCAGTGACAGACCTGCGGACACCGAAGCACTCACATTTTGCGTATGCCACGCACGTTCCCATAAACAGCATTTTATGCCGGTCTTTATAGTTAGTTGGCCCTGTGGCCACATCATTTTTGTTGTTGATATTTTTCGCTCACTTTTTTTTTGTTTTTTTGCTGCTGGCCCTCTTCACACTGTTTCTTTTTTTTCGTTCGATTTTGATTTTGTTAGCGTGTGTTATGTAAGCAGCCCGACTTTATTCAATTTGTATTGAATGCCACGTCTACAGGGCCTATAGATTTCTAGCTGTTGCTGTTGTTGCTGTGCACATTTAAATTCAAAGCGAAACGCAAGCTTGAAGAAAGTGAAATATTCATCAAATATTAAATACACATTTTAATATTTAACATTTCAATTAGAAGACATTTTAATTTTGGTCGGGAACGGGACGAGAGTGAGAGTGTTGCAGCTCGAAAGCCCAACATAGATAATGCCCCTTCTGGGAATAGAATTTGCCAAATGCTTGAGACATAGAATCTTTAATGCTTCTTCATTAAATTTACCTTCAGCTTCTTCTCTCATCTAAGCTTGATACTTTCTTAGCGTACTGTAGATAGAAAGTAGACAAACTACGAATTGTAACTCTTCATTTTGTATAGTATCTCAATTAGCTTCGATTTTGGTTTTTCATTTCGAAATGGGAGCCCTAAACGTATCTCACTTCTCATCTGACATCTCTCCTTGAATGCTCATCAGACCTTCGCCCATTCATATCGCTCCCAACTTATATAATCTGGCTTCGATTGTAGCTGTCTGTATCCCACTTTCCCGCCGGCAATTCTCATTAGCCAACGAGCCAAGCAACTTTCATGCAATTCGTTTTGAGGTGGAGAATGGGGCTCACGCACATTGGGTCGTAATGCTGCTGAAATTGCGGCACTTGCTGCAGACACTGCCAATAAATAAATTTTCCATTTGCCATCAGCTGTTGCCGTCGTGAGCGCTGTCTTTGCTGCATGCCAAGTAAATGGCCCAAGCGAAGCCCAAGGCCCTGGCCCAAAGACCAAGTATAAAACGCTCGAACGGCTGGCGGGCAACGCACAGTCGCATTTTGGCCAAACTGCAGCCGGTCTGTTGTTTGTTTTGTCGCTGATAACGGGACATTGTTGTTATTAATTAAGGCAGAGCCATCAGTGCCATCAGTGCCATCAGTGTGAGCAGCGTCAGCAGTCATTAGCCCGGGCAACGACTGCACCACAGCGTGGAATCTGATCAATTACAATTAGCATTTGGCCGCAGCCTACATAAATCAAAGAAACGGAACATGCTTGGCTTCTGGCATCCCGGCGGTCTGTTGACCTTTTGCCTGGCCCTATTCAGTGGGCTGCAGTCTGCATGCCACGCGCAATTATCCTTTCACACCGATGCCAACACGAATTCCTTTACACTGAAGACGCCGAGTCTGCAGCAGAGCTTCACTCGCTACTACGGATCGGCCAAGCAACAGCCGCAGCAGCAGCAGCAGCAGCAGCAGCCGCAGCCGCAAGCAGCCCTGCAGCAGCAGCAACAACAACAACAGCTGGTAAGTTTAGTCTATGCATTTATTTTGCTAAGCTCAGGTCGAGGCATCAGGGTCAGCTGCGTTTGCCAACGGGCAGTCCGCCGACGGCGACGACCAGCTCCTGGTCGCAACGCATCGCCAAAGCCAAACGATGTCGCCCCACCCATCTTCTGGCCGAGCACCTCGATGCTGTGCTCGTTACGTGCCGCGGCACCACTCTCCACCAGCTGCTTCAGCTGGGCAGCGGCCAGCAGCATGCTGCTCTCCAAGTCCTGTAACCAAAGACAAGCGAAGTCAGTTCAGCTAGTCAGTGTGTGGGTGCGAATAGGAGTGTGTATGTGTGTGTGTGTGTGTGTGTGTTTGGTGTGTGGGCGTCTGCAGCTGAGCTTACCTGCGGGCTGGCATCTGTGCAACTGCAGGTGAGCAGCAGCAGGGCAACAAGAACCAAATACGTTTCCATGGAAATAGCTTAGCTGTCGGTCTGGGACTGGCTGACTTCGCTCTTGGCGTGGCTTATTTAACAGAGGTGTCGGGTGAAACAGGCAGCCAGCCAGCCATTTGACTAATTGGCAGCAGACAACGCCGGCAACACAAATCTGTTATAATTACCGTCAACAGTTGCTGTCGTGTTGCACACACATCCGGCGTCCTAATCTCAGGCAACATCTAGCCGAATAACATGACAGCAATGTAGGTTCATGTAAAAAGGGGTTTGTGTGTGTGTGGCCGTGTGGGCTGGTGTGTGGGCCGGTGTGGGCGTGTGGGTGTCCAAACATATACGTTAGCAGCCACTAATTAACGGCAAATCTCGATGCTCTCTAATGTGAAGCAAGCCCGGAAGCTGTTCGAATTACAGTTCAAAGATTACTGTAAACTACTGTTATTTGCAATAATTTTATTTATTTTTAATTACGCTTCACTTATGACGGGGCAAAAACACTTTAATCTTAGGCCATTTACCACACGTCAATCTATGCAATAAACTGTCTGTAACGTCTACGTATTGACCGATAATGTTCTTTGTCAGCTATTTATACATTTCTTGATTAATTAATGTCGCTCTCGCTCAGCGCTCTGCGGCATAGGCTCAGAATCCAGAGACTGATTTATGGACTGAAAAGCCCTGAACATCCCAAGTTAATCCATTTTGTTATACCCTAAACCCAGTGCAAATGGGAGTACAATGCTGCTGAGAATATTGAGGGAACAGGTAGAAGTAGGCGTGGCAGGGTCTTTAAAGCATACAGTTTTGCTTGCGACGACGAGCTGGGCTGATCTAGCCAAGTCCGTTTGTGCGTCCGTACGTCTGTCCCTGCGTCCGTCTGTCTATCTAGAGTCTTGGAATTTTAAACGTTAAAAATCGATAATTTGACTTGGCTTTTAAATGTTACTGAAACAATGTAAACGCTGCAAACTTCAAACTTCAGCCCTGGTTGCTGTAAAGAATAGAAAATTTTATATATTTTGAATATTGGATAACTTCCAACTTCCTACAAATGTCCAAACGTATTTCAAGTACCAGCGACTTGTGCTTTGCCGAAGACACACCTATAAAACCCACGTTCCGACTGCAGGTGGAAAATCAGCTCTTCGTTGTGTTCAGGGTATTTCCTAGTCGAGCAGTCTTGCCTAGAGCACTCTCTCGTTATTTTTTCCAAATAATTTGTATTTTTTGCTACAGTTAAAATATGAATCTGAATATCATTTAATTAGCAAACATTTCCCTTGGAATTTGCAAGCAATAATGAGCAATTTCTATTTGACATTCTCAAATAATGCTCGATGAAATGCTCTCAATATGCCCGTCAATCAGGAAAAGTCAGTTATTAATGATTTGCCAAAGATTGACTTTTAATCTTCAAGCTTTTGAGATTCATTTGCAAAAGTCGGCGTTCAGTTGCTCTCCGGGAACGTCTCGATATTGTCGTCGACGCCATCGGCGAAGACAGTGCGCAGCTCCTCGAAGTAGTTGTGAAAGGAGTCGGCCATGGACTGCCAGGCATTGCGAATGCTCTCGCCAAACTCCTGGGCCGCTGCCGCCAAACGATTCTCTAGCCTCGGCTCGTCCGGGTAGATGAGCATCGGACGCACACTGTCATATTCATCGGAGTAGTCCAGCTCCAGGTCCTTCTGGCAGCTCACAAGCAGCCCAAGCGTCCCGAGTCCCAAGACCAAGCCAAACACAAAGCGCCAAGTGGAAATCATTTCGCCAACTGTCGTGCAGCCAACGTGGCCTGGCGGCTTTTGTCTGAGCCAACATAGCGCATTGGGCATGCAAGCGCATCGAATGCCGGAAATGTTAACCTGCTTAACTAGTTGTTACCATTGCGCAGATAAATCTATAATGACTCAAGCTTGCTCTGCTTATGAAGGGAGTGCAGCAGCTTGTTTTTGGCCTGATTAACAGCTCTGCCTTTAGTAAGCCTCTGCCTGGTCTTTAACTAATTCGCTTATTTTCGAACTGATCGGAACGAACATACGACTTGATTTATATGATATATGGTTTAATAATTTTATTTAATAACTTTTCTCTTTGTTTATATTTTCAATACAAAAAAAGAACTGCAAAAAAAAAGTGCTTAAGTCGTAGTTGATTGGAATTTATATTGCTTGCATGCCGTCGGAGGCTTGAGCAGCTGCTCCTTTCATTCTCTGGTGCAGCTGCTGCACCGCATCGGCCACGTTGTCCACAAATGAGAGCCAAAAGTACTTGACCCGCTCACCCAGAGTGGGTCGTTGCTGTGGCCCCATTTGCCCCTGCTGGTCCTGCTGCGGTGCCTGGCGGCGGCGGCGCTCCACTGCCAGCTTCTTTTTCTTGCTGTTTGACTTGTTGATGCGCGTCCTGGATGCATTGTTGGCGGCGCGTTTGCGTGCGCGTCTCTTGCGCGCCTCAACATCGTCTGGCGACTCCGTCGTAGCGCCCATCATCTTGCAGGGCGTGCGCTTGATGCGATGCAAAATCTGATGCCGACTTAGCCTGCTGTTCAGGTAGCTAATGCTGTGGCTGCTGCGACGCCTGCGGCGGCGCTTTTCATCCGACTCTGAGGAATCGGAGTCATCGGCATTGCCTCGCATCGCGTCGCCGTAGCCCATGTCCGTCTTGGAGCGCACAGCCATGAGGCCGTTGTCAAAGTTAAGCTGTTGCGTGGCCATTGCGCCCTCCTGCATGGTGTTCATAACCTGGCTGCCGACGCTGAGCGCGCCTGCCGCTATTTTCTCGAGCGGATTTTGCGGGCTGGCCCTGGAGCGAGCGCTGCCCGCCAGCAGCGACAGCAGCAGCATTAACTGCAATTTCAAATACATTTTTCTCGACTGTGTCCGGCGCCTGCTGCTGCCGGCTGTTATATGGCGCATTGGTTTGCGTGCAGCGAATCTGACCAATGGGGCGTATGATCAATTAGTGGCCCTTGGCACCTTTGTGTGTTTGCCGTGTTGTTTTGCTGGCGGCAAAGCAGGCTGTGCACAACGTTTCCGGACTGTCATTGCTGGGGCAGGGAGCTCAGGCCGAGTGTAGGGCCAGTCTCGCTCGCTCGCTTAATCAGATTAGATTTCGAATTTCTGAATTTGTGTCTCGCTTGAATTTTTAACTTTTGCCTCAAAACTGTAAAATTTCGATTAGTTGCCAAATTGCGGTTGTGTGTAGAGATCGATTCCGTACAAGCTGGCAGAAGATGAGAGCTGTCAAAACGCGCAAAAATCATGCTAGATTGGTAAAACTGAATGGCCAGAGAGGCAGCAGGCAACTCGACGTGAATGCACGAACTAATTATCTCCTCTTCGCCCCCAGCAAAATCCAACTCAATTCTCCGGCTTGCCCTCGGGAGTACAATATAGAGCTGCATATCCACAGCAGACCGTTGGAGCTATCAGCAAATCAAAGCCAGCATCAGTTGTCGGTGGCCAGCAGCAAGATCCGCAGCAATATATTGCGCAGCAACAGCTGCAACAGCTGCAACAGCTGCAACAACTGCAACAACTGCAGCAACTGCAACAGCAGCAGCAACAGCAGCAGCAGCAGCAGCAACAGCAGCAGCCAGCAACAACAGCAGCAGCAGCTGCAGCAGCAGGAGCAGCACCAGCAGCTGCAAACCTACCCAGCTATGCGGATCAGATGCAAGCCGCGTTCCTTGATTACCAGCGTCAGCGATTGGAATTTGAGCAGCAGCAGCAACAGTTGCTGCAAAAGCTCTACACATACTATCCCGATGTCTCTGGTCAGCAGCAGCACCAGCTGCAACATGAACTGCCACACGGACAGCAACAACATCAGCCCAACGGCATTGAAAACGATGGCAATCGGTTCTACACGCGCCAAGCCTTTGGCAGCAACAACGGATTGCAGTCGCAGCCGCGCCAGCAGACGCAGCTATCACAAGGTCAGCCAGCGGCGGCCGTCGGCGGACTGGCCAACTTCTACTCGACCCAGCAGCACATGGGATTCTTGCAGCAGCAGCAGCAGGATGTGCTCCGCGATCAGCAGCAGAACGTTGCCCAGCAGTTCGCCACCGGTCAACTTGCGCCCAACACCAGCACCAACTACGGCATGGCAGTCCCCGACTCCTCCGAGCTGGGTCCTGCATCGTACCAACCTGCATCAGCCGTATCCCACGTGAGATACAGTAGCGGCAATCTTAACTATAACTTCTAGTTATCAAGTTCCAAATGCCAGGCGCTGTTGCACCTCGGATCATAGACCGTCCGAGAAGTGGACTAGAACCCTCAACCTAAGCCCGCCATCAAACTGAATATCTGATTATATCAAAACCATATATTTTTTTTCTGTCCCAAGCAATTTTTTTTTTTCATATTTAGTCCTAATTTATTTTTATCGTAATAGTCATTATTATTATAATCATTTTGTAACAATGTGAAAATTTTGCAGCAGCGTAGCTATGAGTCGAAAATTGTGAATAATAAATTTTGCATAAACCCAAATTTGAACACGAGCAAATGCCGAACTCACAGTGAGACGAGCATGAGCTCAGCACTCCAAACAAGTTTCTTCTTGCTATGAGGTGAAATCTATTAACACCTAGTTTAGTATTTAACCACGCATCGCTTTACCCTTCTGTGTCTAGAATTTCTATGCACAATTGAATACTGCTTGACCCTGAGAATTAAGCAAATTGTTGGTTCAAGTGTAGTCGGTCAGTTGATGTACGTAAAAGCCAACTTATTTGCCTAATTGAAGCTGGCACACACACGCCTAAATTGGTTAGCTGGAGTTTGCTGTTTGTGTTGTGTGAATAGAATTTGGTTGAGTGCTCTGCGGCATTACGCATACGCCACCGGCAACCGAAATGCGATGCAAACTTGAAACTGCAATGCAGCACAGCGCATGTTCTAGGCGAACTGTTTATGAAGCTGTGCGAAGTAAGGTAAGGTGCGGATTAGACAAGGTGTTGACTTAGCTACGTTTTATATTGCTAGACATTTTGGCTCACTTTTCTCCCTCTCTCTCTCTCTCTCTCTCGGATGACAACTGGGGAAATGAACAGGAAGCGACGCACCGCAAGCCCAGCCACAATGCTGTTCATTGTGTTCTGCTACATGGCTGACAGATGCCTATGCCGTGTCTCTGTGCCTGCAGTTTCGACTGCGTTGTCTGTTCTCTGCTGCGCTGCACATTTCTGTTTGCTGAACGCAGCAAATTAAAAGTTTGTATTCAAATATGTCCAATAGTGGGCAACACACTTCCATTTCCACTTCCATTCCCATGCTGATTCCCTAACAGCCGATTCACCTACGCTTTACACGGCTTTTATTTGCTCAGCCGTGGCCAACCGGCGCGCAGCGAAATTTACTTTAATAGTAAAACATTTGTTCATTTATTTTGCGAACGACACTCGCCTAATTAGCCTGGGTAATGAAATGAGGAATCTCAGCGGATGTGTCGCGCAAAATTTATATGCGGCACAAATTCAAGTCAAATGCTTTTATAGTGACTATTTAATGCTAGAGTTGAAGCTAGACAGCAATTGTGCCGTGAATCATGCGAGACTAAAGCGAAGCTCAGGCCGTGCCACATCCGTAAAGTCACTAGAATCGCCAGGACTTCGGGCCGAATCACATTACTGACTTACTTAACTTACTCAATAAGGGTCATCCTCCGTTTTCAGTGCTTCTTTTGGCTGCCAACTAAAATAAGAATACGCAAACGATTTGTATTTATTTGGTACAACATTTTCCATTGCCAACTTTGAATAGTTAAGTGACGACCTTTGTAAAAGTTGTTTGCTTTTCTTCTTCTTTCGCTTTTGTGCACTGCTTTGGCATCTTGTAGAGGTCGCTTGGCTTTGCCGAGTGCCTTCCATGGATTGGCCGGCCTTGCCTCAATACAGACTCCCCCGTGCCTCTAGCTGTGGCCGTGGCCCTGGCTCTGGCTCTGGCTCTGGCTCTTCCTCTGTGTTGCTTTCCCCTCATTGATATTTTGAGAAGCTGTCTCGCAGCTGCATTTGCTAATGAAATTGTTGTGTTTTGGCTTCGAGTTCTCCACTGGCATTCTGCTTTGTCGTCCGCTTTGTCGGGGCTTCCGCTGTTTGCAGTGCTATTTACATTGCGACGCGCCTGTTGTACGCTGTGCCCGACCTTGCGCCCAGGTGTCCTGTAAGCCAGGGAACAGGACTCGCGTTTCTGTTTGCATTTGCATTGTGTTCTTTCTAAATGAAAATGCCAACAGTATTTGATGGACAACTGTTGCTACTGCTGCCGCTGCTTCTGGATGGCAGTTGAATTTTACATGCTGGCTAAATCAAATCAAATAAGTCACAAGTCAAGGCACAGGCACCTAACCACCGGCGGAGTGGCATGGCTGTTACTTTGTTATGCCAGAGTCTGGCATAACTTTGCATCTTAATTGATATCCAGCTGCTTTTCAGAAATTCTTGCTGTGCTTTCCTCTAGGGTCGCGAAGTCCTGAATCAATATTTGAATGCCACACACTTCTATGTGTGTGCGTGTGTCTGCGACTTTAACAAGTAAACAATATATTCACGTTGCTTTGCCACATTTACAGCTCGTCTTTATTATAAGTTCAGCTCAAAAGTTCTCGTTTTTTCGACAATCACTATTATTTTAACAGAAATTTGTTTGCGTTTTCCCATAGGAAGCCTCCAATTTGAATGAATGTCAATTTTATTTTAATTGAAAATATGAAAGTTATTCATGAATGCAGCAAGTTTTTTCCACCTAATATGATTGCAAATTTGCTTAGCGCTCTAAATGATTTTGATTTATTTTTAAGCTTTGTTCGCATTTACCTTCAGTTATGTTATGAATAGAGTCAGCTTTTTTGACACATCGACCTGTTTCTGTTCTGCTGTTTTTAGCATTTAACTAAAAATAGATTTCATTGTGCTAAATGCGGCTGGGCAAGGCGCACATGGCGTATGCGTAATATGCAGACACGCTAAAAAAGGGGTTTTGGTCATTTGAACTTTAATACTTTCGCTTGGCATTTGGCACATGGACATCGAGTTAGACATGCGGCTAAGCCCGTGGCCCGTGGTCTGGGTCTGGGCAGATAGTCGTATTCATATCTGTTGCGAGTATGATAAATTCCACGCACTGCGCCATAAACTATGCAGTACGTATGGCAAGTGCTCAACTGGAGCGTGGCAAATAAATCGTAGCATAGTTTCGGCGCCCATATATCATCTTGTAACTGCAGTATTGGGACTGTGTCCCAACAGAGGCCAGCTCATGGCAATGATAGCCAAAAACAAAAAAAAGAGCTAACCACCTCTGCATAGAGAGCACATCAAGTTCAAGTATAAATATATATCTTTACATATATAAATGTTATGTATAAAATGATTTTTATTTTTTCCAACTTTTCACATGCATTTTCTGTACAAAATAACTTTTAAATAAAACGTAAATTCAACCGCGATAAAAAAAAAACACGCACAAAATACAGAGAAAATGACAGAATTCATATTCAGGTAATAAAGAGACTTTCCGTTGGCTAACATGGAACATGGCCAATGCTTATAAAATAATATCAAAATGTACAAAATTGAGAGAGAGAAAAAAAAACATATTACGAAATTAAAAAGTTGCACTGAAAATTGGCAACGTTGCATTTGCGCAGTTGCCATTTCGTGCCGTTGCGATTTTGAGTTGCCTTGTAAACATTTTAGGTCGACACGGATATTATTTTTAGATGCTTACTCCATGTTAGGGGGTGGCTGGATAGGTTGGCTTATCCCGAGTCTCTAGTAGCCATACTGAATGCCATGGCCGGAGACGGAGGTGTGCACCAGGGCAGGTGCGACGGCAGCCCTGTGTAAATAGACGTTAGAATAGTGGCAAGAACATGATGTGCATGCGGCGATCCATCTCTATTTATAAAACTGGCAGACATTACTCACTTGAGCACTGGTGCGGCGGCGAGATGCGTGGCATAGGCGGGTGCTGCGTAGGCGGGAGCTGCATAGGCGGGTGCTGCAGCCAGTCCAATGCCGTGTCCAATGATGCCAGGTGCTGTGGAACAGAAACACACACAAGTCGCATTAGCAGCCGTCTTGCAATGGCAATGCCAATGCCAATGATAATGCATAATCAGAGTCAGAGAGTTAGCCCAATAAGAGGGTGCTGCATGCTGGCGTATGGCTAGGTATTCAAATTCGGATTCCAGGTATCGGCCAACGATCAATAACTGCGACTACTGGCCTCTACTGATTGTCAGCCGTAACAATGGAAATGTCCACGTCCCCGCAAATGTTGCAAATTGGGCCATTGTCACAGGTGGGCAAGCAGTTAGCCAGCCATCGAAGGCGAATACCTCGGGATCTCAGCAGGTTGGTCTAGCACATGGCAACTGACAAGTGGACATCAATCAACTGGCTACGCAAGGTCTGCAATTTTGTATTGTCAAGCCAACATGAAATGAGACTCTGGAACCTGACTTACACTGTGGCAAGCGGTTAGCGAGAAATGTGGCAACATGGCTAAGGGAAAGTGAAGTGAGTCAACGATGCAAGCACTTTAGTGAAATGCGGAAACATCGCTAAATATTTAATAAATAATTAAGTAGTGCGAAAGCATGAGAACAACGCAATTTGAATACGAGCTGCTTGCTGAAGTTTGGCAACAGCGTAAGTAAATATATAAAAATTGCTCAACACTGGCAATTCAGCTTGAGTGAAATGTGGCAACAGCGCACGAAAATTAAAGTTAAGCGCAGCCAAAAAATAAGAAAAACTGAACAATAAATAGTTGGAAAATCAGTGTGAAACGTGGCAACGCTGCATTTGTCATAGATTGGCCAGATGGTCGAAGATTGCTGTCCTGTTAACTTGACAAGGCGTGGCACATGTCCTGGCCATGCCAAATGCCACTTGCTTAAATGGCTGACGAACTTACGGCCCCACATGGAAAGCGATACGGACACTTCACCATTACCATCATCATCATCATCATCATCATAATCATTACGATTATCATCAATAACATCATCGTCTTCGTGGGGGCCGCGTGTCAATGGCTTAAAGTAGTTGGCAACAATATATGAATGATTGATTATACGGCTTGCGTTGACCGACATCGCAGCCCCAACGAAATGCTCTTTCGAATGTCTCCCATGCTTCGTCTCACTCGCTCACTGTCTGCTCTCCCTCTCTCTTTCGCTCAGCAAGCAACAGTGACAGCGCCCGAATGTGCTTTTCAGCGTGTGATAGTAATGAGAACCACGCCCCTTTCGTATTGATAATGCATGAAGAACGTTTTAACTGGCACAGCCAGCTTTTGAAATATTTATGAAATAATTGCATAATTGCGTATCGATTGAGCATTCTTCTATAATTTTAGCTAGCATAGCTTAAAGAGTCTGACTTGGCTTCAAATTCGGCAACAGGCAGACATGTTAGACATAGATCGAAAGACTCGTGTCGAGGAGTAGGAATCGAAGAGAAAACGTTACCTTGTTCGCTACTAATAATTGTCAGAAAATATTGTCTCTTTTGTGTTAGATAGTTATTCGGAGCAACCGGCCCACTCTGCTGACTCAAACCGGAATGTTTGTGATCTCTCGCTTGCTGCTGCTAAACTTGTCCAAAAATTCTACGAATTTATCTCACTTCTGCACTGACCTCGCTGAGTTAATGTTTGTGTTTTGCTCAGATTCACACTGCCTTAAGCACACAGCAGACAGCCCACCGCCACGCCCCCTCCCACTGCAGCTGTCTGCAGCGCAGCGTGGCCTGGTTCGACGAAAAGTTGTGCTCTGTATTTACAGAGCATCAAGTTTGCTTTGGCCATGTCTACTTGGCTGGCCAAAGCGAAAATACAATAAACTGCAGCAAAAAAACGAAACCCAGGCACAAAGGCAAAGACAGCACCGAGATAAAGACCCGACCGAGAAGTCAGCTGATGAAGCTTAAGCCAAGCATTGAGGCACGAAAGGCTGAAAGAAAAATGTTGAATATGCGTGGCTGGAAAATTAGTATAAGCAACATAGCTACAACTACGACTACGACTACGGATACAGTTACTACTACTACGGAGGTGCAGAGATTAGCAGCTGCTTAATAGCCTACTGTGGATCCAGCGAACACCTACCATAAGCTGGAGCGGCGGCGTACTTCACAATCGGAGCAGCTGCTGGGGCAGCCAGCTGATAGCCATGGGAAAGCGATGGGGCGGCAGCAGCTGCGCTATATCCATAGCCGTAGCCCAGGCCTCCTAGGCTGCCCAGGCTCAGGTGGGAAGCGCCCGACAGCTGGAGAGCCGGTGCCGTGGCCGCATAGTGGCCGCCATAGGCCAAAGCGGGCGCAGCTGCAACGGGCGCGGAGGCATAGTGGCCGCCATAGGCGATGGCGGGTGCCGCGGCGGCGGCTGCATAGTGTCCGCCATAGGCCAGGCCCTGGCTCAAGCCCCCATGGCCGCTGGTCACCTGGATCTGGGCAGGTGCACTGTGTCCAACTGCATAGGTGGCAACTTGTGGCGCGGCTATAGATTGATTTTGTGTGCGATTTTTTTTTTTTGGTGTTAGCATATCAACTACGTGCATATTCAATGAATAGTGAGTGCTTTGTGCGTATTGTGAATATCAAAGTGGGTGTGCTTGGGTGTGTGTGTATGTGCGTGTGTGGGCTTGTGTGTATGCGCGTTGACTTACCGGCATAATGAGCGGGAGCCAAGCCGCCATCATTGCTGATGCTGGAGCGCTGCACATGCGACTGCGAGTGGGCGGTTTGCACCTGGCTGGCATAGTCCGACTGCGACGACTGGCCGTAGTGTCCCTTCACCGTATGCTCCTGTGTGTTGCCCACGGAGGCGTGGTCCACGCTGGGTGCGCTAATCGAATAGGCAGCTGGGCCGCCGGGCTTGGCCTGGGCGCAAGCAATCGCCATAGCGGCAAGGCAGAAGATGAGCTGCAATAGATAAATAGTATACAAATTTAAGCACAACACACTTACACACACACCCACACACACACCCACACCCACACACACGTATACATGCATAATTTAGTGAGCGCAGCAACCGGCTGACAACTCATTTGTATTTGGTTTGCATATCGACAGAGAGCACACGACGCACTAGGAAATTGCAGGCGCATAAACTTTTAATTAAGTTGGCAAAGTAGTTGGAAATTCAAATTTTTCACTACTCGCGCGCTCTGCCCCTCTCACTCTCTCCGTCTCTGTCACTCTTTGCCGTGGCAACACGGTAACCTTGCAACAGCCTGGGCACTGCGTCGTATGCGTGATATTTAGAGAAAATATTTGCCAGCACTTTGCCATGGCAACTCTGTGTTTGGCTAACTGCTTTATATATTAACATATGGCAGTACTTAATATCATATCAATTACGTTGTCAGCATTGAACTCAACTCTATGATGTTTAGCCATTAAATGGCCCAGGGTCACTTAATGGCTGTTGTCTAGTTGGCAACAATTTAAATATTTGCTCGCAATTAGCTCATTTGTCTATGCGCTCATGTATCTTAGTCGATAGCCAGTACAGTTGTTGACTCGCTTTGATAGTTACTCGTTACTTTATTCCTGTTAAGAATTACTCATTGCATGATAATTATTACTTGCTGCTTTCTTCTCTTTGATAGTTACTGGTTGCATGCTACTCGTTATTAGTAACGCGTCGCTGTCTAGTCGTTGCTTTATGCTACTTACTAGTTACTCGCTATTTACTACTCGCTACTCCTCGCTAATTTGTACTCTCTACTTTCGTCTCTAGATTGGTTAATCGTCGCATGTTACTAAATATTAAATACTCGCCACTAACTACACGCTACTTTCATCTCTTTGATTGTTACTGGTTGCATGCTACTCGTTACTAGTTACTCGTCGCTGACTAGTCATTGCTTTATGCTTTATAATGGTTACTCGTCGCATGCTACTACTTATTAATTACTCGCTATTTACTACTCGATACTTTCTGCTCTAGATTCGTTACTCGTTACTAAATACTCGCTAGTTATTATGGTTACTGGTTGCAGGTTACTCGTTACTTGATACTCGTCACTTACAACTCGTGACTAGTAACTCGCCACCAACTGCATTGTGCTGGTTACTCGTCGCATGCTACTCGCTGTTGTGTACTCTCTCCAAGCTACTCGTTAAATGCTAGATTTTGTGTGTTATGCAATCGCTTGTTCTTTAACGTTCTTTCCTAGCTGCTTGCTTGACATTTCTGAAACTCGTTACATGCAACTCGCTGACTGTTTGATTGGGTGATTTCCTCTTTTTATATCAGTTCTGTGCGGCATTCAAATTGTAACATCACACTAGCTGCCTTGAAAACTAATCTTGCTGCTTTGACATGTTGACTGCTTGTGTTTTGTCTGACTTGGTGCTTCTAGTTTGTTTTGCCTGTTGTTTTTTTTTATTTTTTCGACTGTCTTTTGTGACCTTACTTTGAAATTTTGGTAAACAATTCCATTGAATTTCAATTTACGCGTAAAAATGCAAAAAACGCTTGGAAAGTCTGTGGGGCTGGGTCCACCAGGGAGTTCTGTTGGCCTTTTTTTTATATTTTATTTAAACTTTATATCATTTCCGTTGCCTTCCCGTTTTGTTTTGTTTTATTTGGCTGGGCTTGGTTTTGTTGTTCTTCGCTTTCTGGCTGACGTGCCCGGCTTGCACTTGACTTGGTGCGGGTTTTATTTGTCTTTCGGTATTTATCTGATTTTAATTAAGCGTAACTCACTGCCGGACAAGAATGGGCCCGAACCGTGGCCAAGGCCGTGCGAACGGCTCGTCGAAAAAGAACATTGAAAAAAAGGAAAAATCAGGCAAGTCCACAACATTTGCTTAAACATCAGCTTGAAGTAGACAATTTAAGCTGAGCGCTTGGTCAGCTGCTGCCAGCATACGTAACTCAACGCGTGAGCAACATTGAAGGACAACTCGAGGATATTTAAAATATGCCCATTGGCATGTGATTGACCCACTTCTGATTGCCGTCACACAGCTATTTGACCTCTACATATTTTTAATGTTGATTGATTTTTCGCTTCGCATTCTGCTGCTTATTAATTGTAAGTCTTGGGGCAGCTAATTAGCATTAAGACGCTCGATTACCTTCAACGGTTTGATTGCGTTTCACATTTCGCAGCTTATGCTTTGACTTTCGAAATGAGCTAAGGCATAACGGAGGTCAATCTGTTTCGGCCAAAGTTGCACGGAGCTTCAGGGAATTAAAAAGTTTGCAATTTGCGTAGCTTAACCAATTTTTGAAACTTTCATTCGATGAGGCCGCCTGACACTGACAGCTGAAATTATTCAATTATTGCATCACAGACGATGCAAAGTTCAAGTTGTTTTCCCTCCATTCTTTTCGCCGTGCTTTTAATTGAAATTTCAAGTAACTTTCAACGCTGCAAGTTGCTTAAAACTGCAACTAGTTAGACGAATTAGTGTAGTGTAGCAGTTGTTCTCATTGTTCAGCCTCAGTTGGGCTTAAGCCAGTCATGTACATTCTTAACATTCAACATTGTACTGACAATAACTTCAATAAACAATGCTCGCTGTCAGTTTTTCCCTTAACTGAGTGCTAAAAGCCTAACACTATATCAGTTACGTGGAATTTAATAATAAAAAAACTGAAATCCCAGTGTGAGCTGTACTTCGCTTTTAGTCTAATAAATCAAAATGATAAGGAAACTCTATATCTGACAGAGATTCAGCTGAACTCAGCTTGTTGTGCTACCTGTGCGTTGCCAAATGCAACTGTGAAGCCTCTAACTGACAGCAGGAGATTGGCAAATGGCTTTGTCCTTGTCAGTGCATCCTGTCAGAAAGTCTGTGTAACACACTCACACACACATTCACACATTCACTTGAGTCCTTACGCACCTTGAATGCCATTTTGTGAATGTGGATTTTAGGTTTACTTCACGTAAAAAAAATTGGGAGTAGTTTTTAAAACTGATGTGCTGCACCGGGCTGTTAGGCTTCGAATCGAAAACTGTCTCAGTGTCGCGTTCTTTGCGCCTATTTATACCGCGCCGCATGATTAAAAAGCGCTGGGAAAATATGGTCCAGCGGCAGTGGCAGCAGCAACAGCAGCCGCTGCAGCCATGGAAAACGGGTTTGCGATGCCAACTTTTTGGCAAAGCAGGCAGCCTCAGCGACAAGCCGCTGTCTGCTTATTGTGAATGTTCGCACTGCGCAGGCGCGGCCAACGCAATGCGACGCAGACGCAGACGCAGACGCAGACGCCGTTGCAGCTTGCAGTTGAAGCCAACACCCGCCTCAATGTTGTTGCTCTGCCCATTTGCTGATTGCCTTTCAGTGCGCTACACATTGAAGTTAATCGAAATCGCATCAAGCTCCATTGTTTAATTGGAAATTGTTATTGTTGCTATTGACTAATTTGTTGATCCGGTCAAGGAAATTCCATGCAAGCAACTGCGGCATGCGGCAGCAGGAAAAGCCAACTTGCTTCATACTCACCTCAACACACTCAGCTTCATGAACTACAAAGTTGACAAGTGACAAAATGTAATAAAAACTAAGCATCATGAGGCTGTCTTTTGATCAATCACTGCATTTTAGCCAATATGACCAATTCCTTTCTCGCACATTCATTCAAGCGTTGCTTTGTGAGTGCCACTCGTTTGTTATTACAAGTTATTCTCTTTGGTATTTGTCTCTTGATAGACTTCTACTATAGCCAGCTTTACTTTATTCACGTTTCTAGCTTGCTTTTCTATTACTGATGGTTTTCATTCATCAGTAGCTAGAACTTTCTTAGTTTCTCCTTGTAGCTTCTACTCGCTACTCTTCACTCATTTCTCGTTACATGTCACGCATTGCGTTACTCGTTGCCTCTGCAACCCTACTCGTTACTCGTCACTCTTTACTATAAACTCGCTGCCTTCTACTAGGTACTCGTTAGTTTTACGTATATCTATTCGTTACTCTTCACTCGCTACTCGTTACTCGCTGTTCTCTACTAGGCACTCGTAGAACTTGTTAGTTCTACATATTTCTATTCGTTGCTTATAACTAGTTACTCGCTGCTCGCTACCCTTCACTCGCTGCTGCCTATTCGTTACTCATTATTCGTCATACAAAGCTCTTTGCTCACTACTCTCCACTCCTTACTCGTCACTCGTTGCTAGCTACTCGTTAGATCTATCATATGTTCATTACTCACTCACTCATTCATCGATGTTCGATGCTCAGCTTACTTTACCTAACTCTCAATTCTTGACCCATTGCCATTCCTTCTCGCCACTCGACACTTGTGACTCCCTACTCGTTACTGCATTGAAACAGCTCAGAATCTTTTGTAACAGCTATGCGTATACAATTTGTATTGAATGCTTTAATTAAGAGTTATTAAAATGCATTTGAGCGCAACAGTCGCCGTTGTTAATTGTTCTGCCTTGCAGCCAGTGAACAAGTTGCAGCTGCCGCTTGAATCTGGTGCAACAACTAGGTGCAACTCTCACTTAACAGCGCACCGCAGCCCCCACACACACGCACATTACATAACGTCGGCTCCATGCTCCAATCTGTTGGGTCCAAGTCACGACTTGGGCAAACGCATAAAGTGCGCATAAATTGTGCGACCCACAAAATCGAAAGCCAGCTCAAATTTAAGCAGCAAGCGACATACACAAGAATGCCAAAATCACAAATCAAACCACTTGCAAAAAAGGCCACTCCCTTCGCCACACGGTCCCCCATAGCCCCATTGTTGCATAGGCATTTGAAAGCGAAAAGCCAGGCCCCACGTCTCGATGCAACGCATGGATATGTTGGCTGGCCCTGGCTGGCTGCCCAATTTCCGCGCCTTGTTGGCGGCGACTGCTGCGTGAGAACCCAAAAGAAGAAAAAAATATCAAATAAAGCAGCAAAAAAATCAAAAAGAAAAAGAAGGAAAAAAACTGGCGAAAAACAACATTTTGAACCAGGCCAAAAGTTTTGCTGCAACGTTTGCAAAAATTGCGAGCCAAACACTGGAACCCATTAATAAAGCACTTGATAGAACGATTCGAGTGTCCAAGTACTTTTTGTATGAGATTAAATATATCCAAGAGGACACTATTGATACAGCTATTAGCTAACAGCCACTGAACAGTCTGACATAACAGTCAGCAAATGTTAATACTAATTGCAGTGGCTAACAGCTGTTGAGATAACTGCGATTTATGAACTCTTATAGCTGTTGGCCAACAGATATTAGCTGACAGCTGTTCATTCAAACGTCTGGCTGTTAATGGGCAGCGGTTGAGAGAAGTCATCCATAGTATATATGTTCATATATTACATTTTGTCATAACATTTAGCTAACAGCATTAGCGCTTAACAGTAATAGCAGCTGTTAACAAGCTTTTACACTAATGACTTGCATTTTAGTCCATAACATTAGTCATAACTAACAGTATTAACTTGTCAACTGTTAAAGCTGTTTAACAGTAACGAAAGTCGCTGTTAATGGACAAATGTTAAGCGTGCCGCTGCAGCGGAAACGTGTCTTTCCTAAAGACACATATTTCCGAAAGAGATTGGCAACTGTAGAGCTTAAATGGATTGCGTGAACGATGACGAGTTGAAGGTTAATTCAGCATGATTGCATTCGCAAAAAAAGAGCGAGTGAAAGGAAGGAGAGGAAAAAATAAAACAAAGGGAAACATGGCAAATGCTTTCAGCGAAACGAATGTGCTGACCCCCAACACTTGCGCAACGCGGGCGAAAGTGTGCTTGGGATGCCAATGCTGTTAGCTATAAGAAGTCCTGCTAAGGATATGGCCACATATCGCGTGGACACCCGCGGCGCTGTTTTAGTTTGGCTATGGGTAATGTGCAATGCCAAATGCGAAATGCGAGGGTGGAGTCGGGAGGGGCGAACGGCGAGTGGAGAATGGCAATTTCTCAGCTGCAGAAGCGCTCGACGCTTGCATTTTATGTGCTCGCTTTTTAAAGAAGATGCTTTACTCTATTGACAAAGCATCGATGGCCATGCTCGAAATGTTTGCCTGCCGCTTTGTGTTTGTCTGTTTGTTCTGTCTGATGTCTGATATTTCCGGCTGCATGGCCACCTTACGGCAGGCTGCGCAAAACAATCTGTACGCTTTTGTCTAGAAATTAATTTGTATAATTGCAAAGCCAACAACGACATTTGAATGTTCAGCCAAGCATATCCGTTTGCATAGTCCTTTACGCCCTGCTGTCCTCTGCCCTTGTCAATTGTGCCAACTCAGACACAACTAAACGCGTCCATATAGGTCATAAAAGCGCGCACAATAATAAACAATAAACAATAAGCCATAAACAAAACAAAGTCTGGATACTCTGAAGTAAGCACGGCTATACCCCAAATGCTAGTTACGCGCTCGCAACAGGACAGCAAATCCATATAAATTGCCTTTGGCTGGACTGCAGCTTGGTTGGCGCATCAGACCAAGATTCTCATCTATTTCAATAGACAGTTAAGGCAAAAACTAAAAATGTCACCATTAACTCAATGCAGTGAAGCCTTTAAGCTCTCAACTACTTTGCCAGCTTTCGGCAATTAGATTTATGTGATATTCGAACGAAGCTCGCAATAATCCCCAATATTTGGTTAGGGTATACGAAATGGACAATGGGCGTCTGTTGACCGCTGCTTGTCAGCCATTTGGTCAGAACAACAGCGTCGCAGTCGACGTTGGCGGCGTGACAACACTTGTTTCAATTGCGCCTATTGATGTCATTGTTGTCGTAGTGCTTGTTGCTGTTGTTGTTGTTGCTGTTATTGTTATGGCTAGCCATTGTTGCGCCCTATCTGTTGTCCTGCTTGCTGCTGCCACTGCTGCTGCTGCCGTTGATTCTTGTCAGCTGGAACCACATTTGCCTAAATACTTAACATACGACCGACAACCATTGGACAGCAATGTGTAAAGGTATTTTTTTTTTTTTTTTGCTTTCTGTCTGCTGTTTTGCATGATATTTTGCAGGGCGTTCAAGATTAATGACCAGCGTTTGGCAATTTGTATTCGGTCGGACATTAGCATCGACCACCCAAACGCCTCACATATGGTTCGAGCTCGTTTGCGAGTTCAAATTGCTGTTCCTCATTTGGCGCTCCTTCGAATGGGTGCTTAAATTAAGTTAAGCATTTGATATGCATCAAGTACACAAAGTCGATATTATAAAACCAAATATCTGTCACGTCAGAATATTTCTCAATATAGCTGCCCTGATCTATCCGTAGGCCTTCTGTCAGTCACTCTTCAGTTTCAGTTTGTGGCTTTAGTGTTGGTTAAGCTAGAAAGAGTTTGGGAATAAACAGTATGATTAAGTGTTGACTGCTTTTTGGTAAGCAGTTATCGAACTGTGTCACACTAGTGATTGATATCGAGCTAATCAACATTGTTCAAGCCAATCTGTCATCTGAAAATTGGAATGTGCATCGAACTGTTAAGGAGCGGATAGAAAATTTGATAAATAAAATATTTTCAAACTTAGAATGGTAAAATGGCCCAAAGGCCCGATAGACTTGCACTGAATACCCCGAATATTTCCAGCATTCGAGTCAATTCAGCTAAGAAAAAATTTGACACAGTTCCAGAAAATATGGAAATTGGGGTAAGTCTATTAGCGAATAATCGAGTATATACGAAAGCTTATGAATGCTCAAATATTCACATTAAAGCTAGTTTGAGATACCGCTAAGAAATCCTTAATTTTCTTATAACTATATCTCTGACTACATCAGCTAACCTAGTCCAACTTTCTAACATTGTATAACACCACAAGGTTTCAGAAAGTGAAGAAGCTCAGGGAGAAAGCAAAGCTAGGGCCAACGATGGCAATGGGGAAAGTAGAAGCCAGACAATAAACAGAAGGAGAAAATCACAAGCTTCGCATTTTCGAGAGGATGAAGTCAATCAGAGAAGTGCAAAGGCGAAAATGCAAGAACAAGATAAGATGAAAAAGAAAGCCAAGCTAGAGGAGATGCCTTGCAGCCAAGAAGAAGACAAATCTGTGCCGCGCCGATCAAAAAGGTCATCGAAAGCACAAAATACAAAATCTAATAAAAAGGGGGATAAGGACCAAAGTGAGTTAGCCAACAATAGCTCAGATGGTAAAGCCAAACCAATATCGACTGAAGAGGTGAGCGAAGCTTATATATATTTATATATCCGTAATAAAATATTTAACAACATTCTAAAAGAAGGGGGAAGTTAAGTTGCCAAAAACTCAGCAAAAAGATCTTGAAGCTAAAAAACAACCAGAGAAACAAGAAACTGCTAATAGTAGAAAGAGTTCTAAGAAAGAGTTCCAGAAACGCAAGTCTTTGGATTCATTGCCAAAGCAAACAGAGACTGATAGTAAAACCAACAGTAAAACCAAAGGAAAAATTCATAAAAAAGATTCCGAAAGGCTGACAGAGGAAGATTCCCAAACAGACACAGATATGAGAGACGTTAAGCCAGAAATCATAAAGGTCAACTATGAGGAAAGCTCCGCAAAGCCCTCAGTTAATGCTGAGAGCGATGAGAGTGACAATGACATATATACAAAGAAAGACAAAGGTCTGGAAGTTAGTAAATTGTTAAATGAGACCCTCAAATATTCCAAAGGCAGCGCAGCAAGCAGCATGACTCCTTCGAAGCAATCGACTAGTAGAAAACCTGCCAAGAAATCTTTGTCAGATGACAGTAAATCGGTAAAAAATGACAAAGTCGATTTGCCGAAGAAAGAAAAGGCAAATACAAAGGAAAAAGAAAGCACGAGCAAGCGCAAAGAAAATAAGCGAGGTAAAAAAGATAAAGATGCCGAAGATGCCCTAGCTCAAGAAGCTCAACAGAAACTTAAGGTTAGCGAAACAGTAGAAGTAGCAGGAGATATCAATAATGCGACGATACAACCAAAGGCAAACAAAACCAAAGATAGAGGGGCTGACAAGGCTATTGTACAGACGGAGCCAGAGGAAAGTGTTCCCTTAAAAGCTAACAAAACGAAACGCCAGGAGAAACGCAAGGAAACGAATGCAAATCAACAGCGGAGAGGCAAGAAAATTGAAGCCGATAAGAAAGGCAAGTCCTCTCAGCCAATGGTAATTGACACGAGCTCTGTCAATACGGAGGCGCCAATAGCAGCCAATAAGACACCCCATGATGGCCAAGCGGTAAGTTAGTCCTTGCTTATAGCCCATTCATTTACCATCTCTTACCTACAGGAGAAGCAAGCACAGGCCGCCTCTGCCAAGCCTGGCGATAAGCTCAAGCAACAGCAAGATCAGAATATTTTCTCTCAATTTAAAACAGACCAAAAGGGACTCGATAGTAAATCAAAACCTTCGAAAAGACTTGAAGTAAGTCCTCCTTTGAAACCGCAACTTAGAAATCAGATGCCAGAAAAGAACAACGATAAGTCTCTGCTAGACAAAACACAGTTCATGAAGTCATTTACGGATGATGCACCCAACTTACAAACTACGATGAACAAGGGCATTCCATTAGTAGATGGCTCCAATGATAAACAAAAGCAGAAAAATCTACCAATGAAAAAAGTACCGTATGAAAGTAAAACATCTTCTGGCACTGAGAAGAAAAGAAGACAAAGAAGACAAAGTTGTCATCAAGAACCTGTAGAAGTCTCCAAGTCAAATGAAATTACAAAAGAAGTGCCGAAAATTCAACCCATAACTACAGCAACACCATCAAAAATGAAGGCAAAAGTATTTCAAACCACAGATCATACCATGGCTAAAAAGCCCGCAGAGTCGGATAAAAAAGATATTCTATTAAATATAGGAGAAATACCAATAAGTATGAAAGATCATATCATGGCTAAAAAACCTACAGAGTTGGATAAAAAAGATACTCTATTAAATATAGGAGAAATATCAATAAATAAGAAAGATCATATCATGGCTAACAAGCCCTCAGAGTTGGATAAAAAAGATATTCTATTAAATATAGGAGAAATACCAACAAGTAAGAAAGAGAAAGGGCGACTAGTCGAAGACCTAAAAGATGTCAGTTCTAAGCCCGCAAGACATCGAGCACCAGACAGAATCGAAAAGAAAAAACCTATGAAACAAACCATGAATAAGGAAAAACAAAAGAACTTAAATATATTACAGGAAATCACTATCAAGGAAGAAAAGGCACCACCAAATGAATCCGAAAAAGGCGTAAGCTTCAAAGAGATAGTTAAAGAAATTCCTGAAAAACATAAATCACGCAAAACAATCGAAAAGAAAGGTCGTCTTAAGAAAAACACAAATGAGGAACCTCTAGAGTGGGAAAAGGAAAATCTTCCACTCAAAAGAGCAGAAATATCAACTAACAAGGATGTTCAGTCAGATGCGGCAGGCACGAGGGTAGATGATAAAAATGCTGGGATGAAGGCCCAGGAAAACGAAAATGAAAAATTCGAAAATACTAAAATATTAATGGGTGCTCAGGGGGTAAGTTCTGCTAAGATTTCGTTGACTTCCAATAATTTATAACATAAAAATATGGCATGATTTTAAGCAATTACAGATGCCCATTGACCAAAGTAGTGTCGCTAATAATACAAAGCTAAGCCCTTTTGACAGTAAGCAGGAGGAAGCCCACGGCTTGCCAACTGCACTCTCAAGAAAGCCGGCCAGAAATAAAGCTAAAAAGACTACGGCCAGAAAAAACAGGAACACAGATCTATTTTCTGACTCCATATCGATGACAGTAGAGAAATTGATTGACCAACAAATACAGCAGAAAAATACAGAAGACCGTAAGAGTATATTCTCAGATATATCACAACAGGTAAGAACTTACTCTGCCTTCTATAGAATAAATTAATTATATTGTCCAAGCCTGTAACTTTAGTTGAAATTGTCGATACAAATAAATTACTTTCTCTACAGAAAACGCCAATATCCAGAGCTAATAATTTCGGCAAGAATAACGCTTGCTCAACACCTAAAAGAGACGAAGACAAAATAATGTCAATGGAAGCACCGACATCTGACATAGAACACAATGATCTTTCAGATATCGAAAACATAACCTTAGTCCATTCTAAAAAAACGGATAGTCCAAGCTCTCGAGAGGTAAGAATTTAGTTTTATTACCGACAGCTCAACTATTGCAGCATAAACTATTTAATTCACTTCACTTCAGAATACCACTCATAAAACTCAAAGCAATCAGCAGCTTTTTAAAGAAGACACACATAACACATTATTTACAAAGGATCCCAAGAATATTGTGCATGAAAAGCCTTGCCAAAGCTCTAGAGATGGTTCCGTAAGAAAAGTTGCTGATGACAGGAAGTCAATTGAAAAAGATATAGTTTTGGTAGCAGACACCCATAGAAAGGTAGCTACGAGTCGTGTTGCTTCGGTTCCCAGAAAGGTCGAAGAAACAAGTGCCAGGGAAAAATTAGATAAAGTTGATATTTCGTTTAGTCAACAGGTGAGCTTTATTTATTATTATTCTCGATTTCTTTGCATACACTTACATATTTGCATTGCAGAAAAAACCTTCCAGTGTTGCTGAGCAACAATGGCAATGTGGTGCAAAAGATGCCATGGACATCGTAATCAATATGCCGTGCTCAACTATTAAGCTGACTGAAGATAAGTTAGTTGCAGGGAATAAGCAAACTTACTCAGATAAGAAATCGAAAAGTGTTGAAGGGAAAGAAACTGCGAAAGAGGTTGAAAAGCGAGAAATAGCTGAGACAATGTTACCGGACTTAAAAACAGTTCCGATCTCGGGCAGTCAAGAGGTAGATTTCTATAGAAAATACCATTTTGAATACACTAAATAACTACTTGAATTACAGAAGACAACTGGGCCAAGAAAGGGCGCTGAAGAGAAGTTAGCTCTTTCTCAACACAAAGATAAAATAAAGAAAGAAAAGACAGCTGTGAAAAGGGACAAATCTATAAAAACTATTACAAAGGATACAGACAAAAAAAGGCTAAGCGACAAATCAAAAATAAAAGAGTGTCTCAAAGAACCCTATACCAAGGAGAAGGCATTGATCGACAAAACTTTGCCAAACGCTGAAAAGCCCACTGTTTCTGCTGCTCCTGAGGTAAGAATGTATCTAAGCTTAGCTTAGAATTAAAAACGGTTTACACTGATATCGAATATGAATATATATCGATTTTCTCCATCATAGAAAAATCGATTTATTGCAGTGGAATCAGCTAGGATAATTGAACCCAGCCAAATCGATGAAAACAAGTTAAGCTCCTCAGACAATAAGAGTGAACAACAAAGCTCTATCCAACAACAAGAAGTAAGAGATCAAATGCAGCTGGAAAAAATTAGATCAAGTGCAACGACTGAAAAGATTGCAGAACGCAAAGTCAAAGCTGACAAGCAAAGGGGCTCAGATGATAAAAAGGCTGCAAAGGAAAATAGTAGAAATACAATTAATAAGGCCATAAACATACTAACAGAGTCTACAAGTGGTTCAATCCCAGGGTCTCATGCAGTAAACACACATTGCTCCGATAATCAGAAGCCTGAACTATCCTTGATAAGGGCTGCTGACATGAAAGAAACCATGAACAGTCGAGGTTTCTTAATGGAAAGCCTACAAAAAGACAGAAAGCAGGTTGTCAAAGGGGAACCTTGCGCGCCCCAAACACAGACTGCACAGAACCTAGAATTTAAGGTCAAAGAACGTTCATCGGAAGCTCAACCAAACCTGAATGAAATAACAATAGACAGAAGTGAAAAAGTCAAGGAAGGGCAATTAACGCAAAAGACCAGCATGCTCCCACTACAATCGGGATCAACTACTGTTCCACCTTCGCAAAGTGAAAATCAAAAAGCTGCCCTACAACAGCGTAGTCAGTCATCTCAAACAGAACCCCTTGATGAGGTTGGCCAAAATAGAAGTATTGTGGGGGACGAACCCAAGAAGGAAACAAGCGATAAGGAAATGTTATCAAGTAATAAAGAACAAATGACCGACAAGAAGATTAGCAAAAAGAAAGACAAGAAGAAAAAGAAGAAAGATGCGAAAAAGAAGAAAGAGAAGCAAGTATCAGAAACTCAAGAGGTAAGCAATGAAAATACTTTTGAGTATCGATTAAGCATGTTAAATAAATCTCTATTGTAGAAGAAATCGTGTGAATCAAATACAGAACAGAGACAGCAAGCAACAGACCAGAGCCCGTCCGTCGACTTGGGCTCATCAAAGGAGAAAATAAAAATAAGCACAGAGAAGCCAGTGCAAGCAACTGAAGAGGTAACTGGAGCGGAGAACTTGGACAAGGAAAATGAATCGGTAGCAAGCTCTGCTGAACAGCTTGTTATCCATGGCTCTCAAAAGGTTAGGTTATTTTAAGAGTACATATAGACATATAATTAACTTTGCCATATCACAGAAATGTGAGTCAGAAGCACAGCAACAGGTAGAGAAATTATTGGTAACAAAACAAGAGAAGGAATCTGGCGCCGTTCCAATTGTTACTGAGGAAGTACCGAAGAAAGAGATTGTCAAACCCGAAGGTGGCTTACCAGACGTTCAGCCAGAAACAAAGCAGAGTAAGAAAGATAAAAAGGACCAACTAACTGTTACTGAGGTAGTACCGAAGAAAGAGATATTCAAAGCCGAAGGTGCCTTCCCAGACGTTCAGCCTGAAACAACGGAGCATAAGAAAGAAAAGAAGGACCAACCAACTGTTACTGAGGAATTACCTAAGAAAGAGTTTGTCAAACTCGAAGGTAGCTTACCAGACGTTCAGCCAGAAACAAAGGAGAGTAAGAAAGATAAGATGGAACAACTAATTGTTACTGAGGATGAACCGAAGGAGGAGAGAGTCAAAGCACAAGGTGGCCTAATAGCCATTCAGCCAGAAAGTAAGGAGAAGAAAGATAAGAAGAAGGACAAGAAGCAAAAAAAAAATGAAGACAAGCTAATAGACAAGGTAAAAGAGCTGAAGAAAGACAAAAAGAAAGATAAGAAGAAAGACAAGAAGAAGGACAAGAAGAAAGATAAGAAAAAAGAAAAGGAAAAAGAAAAGGTAAAGGAAAAAGAAAAGGAAAAAGTAAAGGAAAAAGAAAAGGAAAAGGAGAAGAAAAAGGAAAATGAAAAGGAACGGCAAAAAGAAACAGAAAAAGAAAATGAAAAGGGAAAAGAGAAGGAAAAGCAAAAGGAGAAGGAAATGGAAAAAGAGAAGGAAAGGGAAAAAGAGAAGGAAAAGGAAAAGGAAAAAGAGATGGAAAGGGAAAAAGAGAAGGAAAAGGAAAAAGAAAAAGAAAAGGAAAAAGAGAAGGAATGGGAAAAAGAGAAGGAAAAGGAAAAAGAAAAAGAAAAAGAAAAGGAAAAGAAAAAAGAGGTAATCACAAGTCGACTCACAGGTTTAGCTTGGTTTTCCCAATATATATATAATTTCTATACCATTTTTACATTGTTTCATTCATCCCAAAAAATGCTCTGATTATTTTTTGTCACAGAAACCCCCATCAGATCAATCAACGAAGCCGATTGAGAAATCCAAGATCTTCCAGCAACATGCAAGCACCGAGAGTAAAGCTGATAAAGCAAAAGAAAGTCAACCAAGCATGGCAAACGTGTCAACGTCTTTGACAAAAGATGCAGTCAATAAAGTGCCAATTGATATCAAACTCTCACAAGATGTAAAGTCAACACTGAAAAACGATAATAATATGAATGAAACAAATAAAGGCAACATAATTTTGCCACCATCTGAGAAAATAATTCCGCCAATTTCTCAAGAGGTAAGGATATTTGTTGGTATGGTCAAATATATATTCTAATCATGAATCAATATGGTCTCCTGCAGAAAGAAGTTTATGACTCAGTTCCATTAACAACCACAGTAAATGATAAAATTGCAAACACTTCCAAAAACAAAGAAAAAACTCAAAAAGTTATTCAAAAACTGAAAGATAAATCAATAAAATTTCAAGATAAAACAAAGCCGTGTCTAACTGTTGAAAAGAATGCAGTCGCAAAGGTACCAAGTGGCAAGGAAATTTTATCCGAAAACTTATCAAAGGAAATACCACGCTCACAAACGGATGTTCTTCCGACATTACAAGCGGTAAGCGTTCTAAATACTAAATCAAAGAAGCTACACAAAAGAAATTAATTTTACTCTCATAGGAGAAACCTTGTAAGCCAAGCCTGACGGAGAAGGCTACTGTCCAGAAGCTAGTCGATGGTAAAAGTGCAAAGCCATCCGAAAATGATGCTTCCCATCAACAGGAAATTCAAACATTGGCTACAAAAGTTCTCAAAGAATGTCCAAAACTTGACAAGGATGGAACGAAGAAAGGAACGGGTGATAAGTCGAGCTCATCAGCTAACAGCGATAAAAAAGTGGACACAAAACCAACTCAACTTATCGAAGAGAAAACATCAAACAATAAGCAGACTTTTGAAGGTCCTCAAGAGGTAAGAATCTTTGTATAATATTCGAAAACAGTTAGACATATCCCTATCGCAGAAAACATTACATAAGTCTGAGCCGCTTCCAAACCTAATTATGGAGAACGTAGTCAAAGAAGGAATAAAAATCACCTCTCAAATAAAAGGAGTACCTCAAATATCTGAAGGCAAATTACCGGCTACACAGCGCACGACGAATATCGAATCAGTTAAGGACGATAAGACCAGCAAAGCAGGCTTACCAGAAGACAAGTTAAGGATCAAGGAGCACAAGAAGGATAAGAAGAAAGATAAGAAGAAAGATAAGAAGAAGGATAAGGTGAAAGACAAGATCAAAGACAAGTTGAAAAGTAAGATGAAAGACAAGAAGAAGGAGAAGAAGAAAGACAAGAAGAAAGACAAGAAGAAAGATAAGAAGAAAGACAAGAAAAAAGAAAAGGAAAAGCTAGATAAGACCGAGAAAAAGACAAGCTCTATCAAAGAGACTCTTCCAACTTCTCTAGGGGTAAGCGTTGTATAGAGTTTGAGTTTACAGCTAAATAAAAAAAAACTAACTTTTTTATAGCAACATGAACAAAAAGCAACTGTTACCAAGGAGCAGCAGCAGCTTAATGTAACAGATACTAACAAAATTAAACACTGTCCGGAACTTAAAAAGGACTTAGGCACGCATGAACCACAAGTAAAAGGACCTCTGCCATCAACAAGCTCAAAGAAGAAAGAGAAGCCTATACTGGATAAGATGATGATTGCAAAACCTAGGCTTGAAGCTAATTTAGGTCTAGATTCTGAAAAGGTAACGACTGCCTACGACTTAATTCCTTTGCCAACTTAACCTAACGCAAGTGCGCGGTATTTTTATGCTCTCCTACAGAAATCTCTTGATGAAACTAATAAAATATTGAGTGCATCTAAAATATGTGTTAAGGAATCCGCTGGGAAGAGCGAAAAATTCGATTCAAACGGGGCAATAAATATGAGTTCTATGCAGGTGAGATATAAGACGTTACATAAGTGAGTACATTTATGAATTCTTACTACCCATTGAAGGATAAATTGGAGCTGGATATAAGTAAGAACTCTAGAAATAATCAAACACTTCCGCAAGAAGAAAATGAAATTCAAACTGAGAGTAAATTAGAAACTCTTGATGAAAACTGCTTGAAAACTCTGCTGACTGAAGCAAATCTACCAACAGTTTCCAATAAGCAAGAGGATATTAGAACAGAAAATGAAATATTAGATGCTAAAAATCAATCCAGACCTATCATCGACTTCCTTACCAGCACTCAGAAGGTAAGCATCATATATGATACGCACTTTTCATTCACTTTTAATTCACTCATAAAACGTTTTCATCGCATGCCAAAAGCAGGAAGATTTGACTCCCCAAGCACCAGGAGATGAAAAAGGAAAAGTTGAACAAGTGGAAAAGATTTTGAGCAAGGAAGTAGCAAGTGAACAGCAAATGGAACCAAGTTGTTCTCATACTGAGCCCACACAGCTGAAAGCCATGAAGTCTCACCTGAAACGAAATCTTCTCTTAAAAGAGCAAAAAGTATGAACAAATTAGTTCACTAAATGTGCAAAACTAAGATTTTCTTTTTTTTTATAGGAAAAGCAAGAACAAGATATTGATAGTAAGAAACCAAAATTATTGGATGATGACGAAGCGAATAATATGCCGAAGATAGAAGAGAAAAGGCAACATGCGTCGGTTGAAGTGCCTCAGGCTACCAAAGAAAAAGTCATTAAAGCAAAAAAAGAGAAAAAGAAAAAAGAAAAAACTGAAGAGGAGAAGCTTAAAAAAAAGGCGAAGAAGGAAAAGAAAGCTAAGATGAAAGAGAAAGAAGTAAGCAGTAAAGATTCAAAGAAATCTAAGAAGAAAGCAAAGAAAGAACTCGAACAAAATCAAGAGAAGCCAAAAGATGAGTCTAGCAAAACTATTTCTAGTATGGAAGATAAAGACAATAAAGCTAACGACTATATACTTGATACTAGAGAGCTGCTCTTACCTATCGGAACGACAATCGAATTACAGCAGAACAAGAAGAAGCCGGACGAAAATACATCGGAGCAAATCAAAAACAATTTTTCAGTTAATGATTTGGTAAGAATATTAAACACTATGAAATGAAATGATATAAATAACTTTTACTGCAGTTTTCCCTTGAGCAAACAAATCCAGTCCATCAGAACTCAGAACTCACGGAAGTAAGCAGAGGCGAAGTTGATCAACAACAATTGAAGAACGAAAATCCCGTTAAGCAACAAAGAGAGGAGCTAATATTGATTGACACTTGGGAAGATATATCGTATACGAGCTTATCTTTTGGTTCAGCAAGTGAATCGGTAACTTGAAATGAAATTCATATGATACTCATTTGTCTGTATTTTATTCATATATTTTTCGCATCAGCAAAATTTGCAAGCCTCGAGCGCGCAAAACTTAACAAACGAGCCAACCAGTCAAAGCTTACCGAATTTGACCTTTGATTCGAAAACTTCGCTGACTCCAAATCAGGAAAGGGAAACAACTGCATCGGAAATATCTTCGGAGTACAGAAATTACACATTAGACAAAATATTCAAGTTGCCCAAGGGCACAGACCTGTTGCAAGGGGTAAATAATATCTAAGAGTTACACTTATTGCAATTACTTATTGCTGCAATTTCTATATACTTCCAGGATAAGAAAATCAAATGCCAGCTAATCAGTCGAAAATTGGAATCGAATGCAGACGAAGACGAAACCTTCCAGTTACATAGTGATAACTATGAAGCACCAAATAGGGCTCAGCTGCCTACTTATGAAAATCATGTGGCGAATACCAATACAGAAAAAAATTTGGAACAGCAGCTGGAATCAGCTGCTGAGAAGCACTGGATGGGCAATGATGATATCAACAATCTGCTAACTGGATTTTCACCTGCTTTACAGGTATATCAGATAACAGACGAATTAAACTACTATTATTTACGTTATGCTCGCTTTCAGTCACAACCAGAGGCAGAAAATCTTGGCACTTCAGAGAACAATCGAAAAGTAGTTGAGGTAAACGCTGGCATGACACAAGCTATTAATGTGAATGATCAAGCAAATTGGAACTCTAAGCCAGAAGTGAAAGGACTTCAGCAAAGTGAGAAAATTACACCAGCTGTGAAGAAGATCGAAGTTCAAATTGATGAAAAACCAGAGATTAATAAGAGCTCTGCTCAAAGATCAGTGGCGAAAATGGCAAAAAAACGAAAAGCTTCGAGCTTCAATCAGATGGAGAAGAAACTGAAATATAATGCAGAGAATCAGGAACTCAAACCGGAACTTACGGAACTCCCAATGCTGCCGAATCTAACGGCAACGAAATTGCCTACGGAGCAACACGATATACAAAATATTGATTCCAGTATCGAAGAGCAAAACTTTTATTTCGACAAGAATATTGAGCGTATTTTAGAGGAAATGAAAGCATTGGGTCCACAGCTGAAGGCAGACGAGATCCATCAATTTGAAGATATCAACAAAAATGAAAAATACTTGCAGCCACTAAGTATTAATCAAGGACAGAGTCTCGATAGGATTGATAAGTCGACTACAGAAAAGCAAGGCGAAATGCAGGCAAATATTTGTAGATCCGAAGACCCATTATCAGCAGTTGCTAAGAAAGATCACGTTGACTCGGATAGAGAGTTACAGATGGGTCAGGGGGAGCAAAAACCACGTTTGCCGAAAGCTCCAAAAAAGACAACTGCAAATATCTTTAGAGCTGACGACAATGTTTACCATATAGACAGAGAGTTACAGATGGGTCTAGAGAAGCAAAAACCGTGTTTACCGAAAATTCCAACTCGGGGTAATCCAATGCAAAAAGAAGAAGTCGACAGAGGTCAATCGATTTTAAGCGAAAACGAACTTATGCAGCATAAGTCTAAAAGGTACAAGAGTAAAGTAGATAAAAGTCGCAAAGCGCAAAAAGAAAATATCGAAGAACAGGTGAGGTCTAACCGTCTTCCTGACAAGACTGCAGCACAACCAACACCCGTCAGTGAATACAAAATGGCAAAGAGTATGCCCAACCTGGATGAAGAGTTTGCCATGGAACAAAATATTGCAACACAAATATTGTCAGATTGTACAAGCAATACAAGTTTAGCCGACAGAAATTCAAAGCAAATGCCAGAAGCGAAACCGTTGCAAGCGCACAGCAAGAATGATCCCCAAAATCAGAAAGAAAATATAAATCAAAACAAAATAGAAGCCATGACACCTGCAGAGCAGAAGAGACAGAAAAAAATGCTGAAAAAAGCTAAAAAACTAGAGAAGGAAATGGAGAAAAGTAAGGAACAGAAAACGTCCTCAGACCAAACAGGTGAAATCGAGCGGCAACAAAATACTGAGGTTAACTTGGCACAAGAGCCCAGCGACGAAGAAAGTCTAATGAGAGAAGCAGCGAGCTTGGAAAAAACAGAATTGAAACGAAAAACTATGACACAAAGCCCTCTGATGCAGAAAGGAGAAACTTTGGATAACCCACCGCATAAGAAACACAAATCAATGGCAACTAAGGATCAAAAGACACAACAACAGCCAACAGATGTCAAAAAAAAGAAGAAAAACAAAAAACTGATGGAGCAAGGAGAAAGTTATATGATGAAGAGAACCAAAGATCATACTCAAAAGGAAGTCTTCTCAGAAGAAGACGAACCTCTCCATAAGAAGATGAAAGCGGAAGCTAAACTGAATCCGCCTCAGAGTAACATAAGCCAAGAAGAGGAACAGTTTGTGCCAAGCACACAAAACAGGTATCAAGCACCATTTCTTCAAAAACTAATTCAACAAATAGAAGAGAACAAACGCACTAGGGAACTGCATGAAAAACTGTCGGCTGAGAAAACAGATCTTCCAAAAAATGCTTCCGTAGAAGCAAACCTTGAAGTAAAGTTCGATAGAAAGTCAAGTGAAGACAATGTGGCTACCAATCTGCCCAGTGTAAGTGTAGCCTATAAAAATACAAGGAATTGCAAATATTTCAAATGTATAATTCGAGCAATCGTATTTATTTTATTCTCTCAGGCCAAAGGTTTTAAGGTTTCTGATAAAGATACAAACGTAAACGCTCGTCCAATCGAACCCCGGCAGAAGTCCCATACAAGTTTCGACTGTAACAACGCGATATCAAGCAGCAAGTTGCCATCTGAGGATGAACTCGAAAATAATTGTGGATTGTTGATGGATGCCTACAAGCGATTACCGGATGGACAGCCTGCGATGGAAACGAAGCTGAAGTCGGATAAGGTAACACTGCTAATGTTCTGTTATTGCATTATTTATTATATTCATTATATTCATTATATTTGTTTAGATCATCCCAAAGATCATTGAGCCAGAAGCTCAACGTATGCCAGTGAATAGACCAAGTCCCGCAAAGCCGGTTCTGTCTAGGGAATCCCTACAAGCGGTAAGACTGTCAGAATAGATATGGAAGACAGATAACAATTTTACTCAAATAGCCTGGCAGCAAATTGGCAAAATCGATTCCAATGGCTCCAGACTCTAGGAGACTTCCCGTAAAGCAGCTACTGTCGGGCAAATCTTCATTAGCGGTAAGAAAGTCAGCATAGACAAAGAAGAAAAGTATTAATTTGAAGTTCAATAGCCGGAGAGCAAGAAAGCAAAGTCAAGTCCAGTAGCGCTAGAGACTAGGAAAGCCTCCATAGACTGTTGGTCTATGCCAGTGATTGAGCCTGAGCAAACAGATACCGTAAAGCTAACTCCATCTGGCAAATCTTCACAAGAGGTAAGAGAGTCAGAAAAAAACATATATATTCATAATCATTTTTACTCAAATAGCCGAAGAGCAAGAAAGAAAAGTCAAATCGTGCTCCAGAGCCGAAGGATGCGCCCATAGACTGTGTGTCTATGCCAGTCATTGAGCCTGAGCAGACAGATACCGTAAAGCAAGTTGCTTTTGGCAAATCTTCATTAAAGGTAAGAGAATCCGAAAAGATATATATAAACTCATTTTTACTCAAATAGCCGGAGAGCAAGAAATCAAAATCAAATCGAGCTCCAGAGCCGAAGGATACGCTCATATACGGTCTGTCTATGCCAGTCATTGCGCCTGAGCAGACAGATACCGTAAAGCAAGTTCCATCTGGCAAATCTTCACTAGAGGTAAGAGAGTCAGAAAAAAATATATACAAATTAATTTTTACTTAAATAGCCGAAGAGCAAGAAAGAAAAGTCAAATCGAGCTCCAGAGCCGAAGGATACGCTCATAGACGGTCTGTCTATGCCAGTCATTGCGCCTGAGCAGACAGATACTGTAAAGCAAGTTCCATCTGGCAAATCTTCACTAGAGGTAAGAGAGTCCAAAAAGATATATATAAACTCATTTGTACTCAAATAGCCAAAGAGAAAGAAATCAAAGTCAAGCCGAGCTCAAGAGCCGAAGGATGCGCCTATAGACCGTCAGTCTATGCCAGTCATTGCGCCTGAGCAGACAGATCCGACGGTAAAACAGGAGTTGTCTGGAAAATCTTCACTAGAGGTATGAGAGTCGGAATAAATATCTTCCTATCTAATACTAAATTTGCCTCGAATAGCCTGGCGGCAATGCAGGAGAATCGAATCTTCAATTTCCTCCAAAAGCAACCATAGCGGATAAATCTCTGCCAGTGATAACTCCTAAGCAGACAAAGTCCGAAAAGTCTGTTCCATCTAGCAAGCCTTTACCAACGGTAAGAAATTCCGAGTAGATAAGATGGGATGATATTAACGTTTCCTCGACTAGCCTGACTGTGATAAAGTAAAATCAAATTCTACACCTGAAGTTTCTGGGAAAGCGCCCATAGCCAACTTACCCATTGATACTAAAGGATTGCCCAAAGCACAAAAGGTAAAACAAGTCACAAGCAGTTTCAACACTTCCTTGCCTTTGAGGCATGGATGTCATATCTAGATATATTTCCTTAAACTTTAAAAATCTTTAATATCCATTTCATAGTCCATAATCAAAGCAAAGAAAAAGCAACAAAAGCTTAAAAATATCAAGAAAAAAATGATGAAAAGTAGCAAGCAATTTGAGAAAAAGCCGAAGAAGAATTCGGAAAGCTCCACAGAACTGAAAGGAGAACAGTTAAAGGTTGAGCTGAAGTCATCAGATGAGGTAATATTATATATATTATTCCAGGTGCTTATAAAATTCCTTTCGTTTGATTAGCTCAACACAGAGGACTTAAAGCCCCCTCCCAACACGGAAGCTGGAATGCCAGAAAATCCTTCTAAGCTGACAAAGCCCACAGAAGATGACCTCTCTGGCAAATCTGTGCAAGTGGTAAGATAAAGCTAAGGCTTGGATAAGTAAGAAATATATTAATTACTATTAAAATAGTCTAAGGACAGTAAAGCGAAAGCAAAAGTTTCCACTAAGAAGTCCAAGGCCAAAAAAGAGTTGCGAACAGCACAAAAAGTAAATAAAACTATTAATTGAAATTGTTCACAAATAGTCTCAAGGGGGATAATTAACTGATTCTAATGTATATTATCTTTTAATATCATATTTATTAAAAATCTTTAGTCCATAGTCAAGACTAAGAAGAAGCATCGACGAAAGGCGACCAAAGCTACGAAGGAAAACCCGAAAGAGGTTCCCGTGGTTCCAACACTAGAAGAAGCGGTAAGAAGGCCTAGATTGTTATAGAGAGGAACGCTTCATAGCCTGTATTCAACAGTTATTTAATTGCTTTCGATTTTTAATCCAACAGAAACATGAAGAGCCCACAAACGCAGAAACAAAATCAAGTTCAAGTAGTCTGTCGCCCGATGAAAACGATGAAGAGTCCTCAAGATGTAGTTCCTATAAGGTAGGTTCAACTGTGGTTTCGTTAAGCCTGATGTAAAGAATAGATATCAAGCTGATATAAGGTCATCAAGAGAACTCTTCGTATTGATTAGCCGATATTTTACTTTATAGTACGAGTTACCTGTGCCAGATACCAAAACAGCGCTGCAAACTTTCAAGAAGAGCCTTGCCACCAATATACTGCGGACTCAGCGCGAGTTTATGCCAATGGTCCAAAAGGTGACTAATGTTAAATGGATATATAGTATCACAGTTCGATGCAGACAGTGTCAGATAGTGAATGATTTCTACTTATTCAAATAGGCGCTCGTGGAGTATAGAGAAATAGGAACAAAGCCAGGCACTCAGCCTGCTGTCAGTGCGAAGGATGCTAATCTAGCTAGTACAACTCCTGTCAAACCATTATCACTACCGGTAAGTGTACAGACCTAGTATTTTTTTAATTCATTGAGCTCTAGATAAATGGTCTAAGTGCAGAGGCTTACTCGAGGCAACCTCACAGCAAGCATATTTTATATTAGAGTTTTCCTCTGTGTTTTCATTGAACAGGTCATCGATGAGCCCAACGACCTTCCGACCGTTGAATGTAAGGAGCCTGCACCCAGTCAGAGCAAGGAAGTCGAGCCCGTTGCACCCAAGGATCCTGCCACCATTGCTGAGGAGGAGAAACTAGCTAAAGCCTTATCTGCGAAGCGAACATCACTTGAGGTAAGCAATCAGTAAATATGCTTATGTCTGTTTAATTAATTATATTCCTACCATGCTTAAGATGTTGGAGAAAAAAAGCTTAGAGGCAACTAAGGTACTCCAAAGTTTCAAGGATGACCTAGTCAAGTTGGCAGCAGAGCGAAGGCGGTGCACAAAGGTGAACGACTCTTTTCGATTATTGGCAGTTGAGAATGATGTTTAAATAATATTGCCAAACTAGGTTGTCAATACGGACGGTCCAACTGAATGGGAGCCGTATAAACTGGAGGAAATTAACGATATCTACAATGCGCGCGTTGTGAGGAAGGGCATGTTAAACGGCAAGGCGTTGAAGCTACCAACGCGACGTGAGGCGGCCCAGCTGCAGCCGCATTTGGCGGACGAGGATGAGATGGATTTGGAGGAAATTGGTGTGCCGGATACCTATGAGATCTACTGGCCCAGCAATCTGAGCGAGAAGCAGGCCAACAACCTGGAGCATCCCAACGAGATATTGGAGCTGTCCACGCTGCTCTCCATGGATCTGCCCAAAATGACGTATGCCCCGACGCCGGTATTGGCCGACAAACTGAAGGATCCCCGACGACTCAGCGACTTGCAGTTGGAGGCTCTGATCTATGCCTGCCAGGCACATGAGCAGATGCTGCCTTGCGGTCAGCGAGCGGGCTTCCTGCTGGGCGATGGCGCCGGCGTGGGTAAAAGTCGCATACTGTCGGCCATCATCTATGAGAACTTCAAGCAGGGCCGCAAGCGTGCTCTGTGGGTGTCCATGTCCGAGTATCTGCGCTTCGACGTGGAACGCGAATTGGGCTTCATCGGGGCCAGTCCTTTCATCAAGGTGGCGCCCATTGGCAAATTTAGCTACAACCAGATTGGGCTGAACGACAAAGATCGCGAGTCCTTCAAGAAGGGCATCGTCTGCAGCACCTACTCGGAGCTGACTGAGGAAACAAACGATTCCTTGCTCAAATACCATACGCACGTTAGTCAGCTGGTTCAGTGGCTGGGCAAGAATGGCGTCATTGTCCTGGACGATTGCCACAAAGCGAACTGGATGAGTATGTCTAACACGGAGCGATTCATCAAGATATGCAGCGCGGTGCTGAAACTGCAGCAGCTGCTGCCTCTCGCACGCATCGTCTATGCCACGGCCTCAGGCGCCTCCGAGCCGAGGAACATGGTCTACATGACGCGCCTGGGTCTGTGGGGTGTGGGCACACCGTACGGCGAGTTCCTGGACTTTGTCAATGCCATGGAGAAGCGAGGCAGTGGCGTCATGGAGCTCGTTGCCGTTGACATGAAGCTGCGCGGCATTTACGTGTCGCGGCACCTGAGCTTGCATAACGTCACCTATCGCATTGAGGAGGTAGCCATGTCGCGGGAGTTTCGCAAGTTCTACAACTATTCGGCGGACCTGTGGAACAAAATCAATGAGCAGCTGACCAAGGCATTCCGTCGCATTCGCATTGAGTTGCGTGTCCAGGAGCGCATCACACGCCAGTTCTGGGCCGCGCATCAGAGATATTTCAAGAATCTGTGCATAGCCGCCAAGCTGAAGCATATTGTCAGGATGGCCATTGAAGCGAAGCTGAAGGGTCAGTCGGTTATCGTGGGAGTGCAGGCCACGAACGAATCCCATAAGCTTCAGTATCTTGAACAGGAGCAGGCCAACCCATTGGGCTATCTATCCACAGCCAAGGCCATAATACAATCTTTCATCGAACGATATTTTCCAGCGCCCAGCAACGAGTGCTTCGAGAAGCTGCTAAAGGAGGGTGCCTTTGATCCCGCGAAACGTCCCAATCCCCCTGACGCCAAGTCTGTCCCCATTGCCCCCAAAGGATCGTCGACCGATGACACAGACTTAAGTGATATTAGTTCTGATGAGGATGACGGTCAGGATGGCTCAAAAAAACGTCGACGATCGAGCACCTCGAGGGGTAAGTGGTTACTAGAGATAATCGAATATTGCTATAAGCTCGTCGTGGGCAAACGAGTCAAAAGAGTTTTCCCATAGTCTTCCATACAAAGGCCTCTCCCAGGGAAACTCTTGCTGGCTTTCTCACATCTATTTCAGTGATGGCCTAACGTTCATATACTCGTCCTCTTTCAGCGGAGAAAACAATGCAGCAGCGCATACTGAAGCAACTGTGCAACAATAGAGAAGCGGAGCAGGAGGAAGAGGACTTCACCTATAACTTTGACAACATCGATCCACAGGCCCATCAAATCACCGAGAGCGAGGTGAGGCGCTGCATCAATGCACGGGAGAAGTTTTTGCTAAAGATTGAACAGCTGAGTATACGAATGCCACCCAATACACTGGACAAGATTATTGCAGAGCTGGGCGGCGTCTCTGAGGTGGCCGAGATAACCAATCGTCGCGGACGTGTGATAAAAACAGGTGACGAGATCTACCAATACGAGGACCGTGGCGAAACGCAAGCAATGCGCGATATGCTCAACTATGCCGAAAGGCAGAGTTTCATGGACGATAAGAAGACGGTGGCGATTGTCTCGGAGGCAGCCGCTTGTGGCTTATCGCTGCAGAGTGATCCTTCCGTGCAAAATCAGAGATCTCGGGTTTACATTAGCCTCGAGCTGCCCTGGAATGCGGATCGTGCCATACAGCAGTTCGGATGCTGCAAGCGCAGCAATCAGGTCAACGAACCGGAGTTCGTAATGCTCATTTCGGATGTGGCCGTGGAGCTGCATCAGGCGAATATGGTGGCCATGGAGCTGAAGAATCTGGGCGCCATCGACAGCGATCCGCCAGATGGGGATCCGTTCGGCCGCGAGCAATCGCTGTTCACACTCAACAATAGCATCGGGAGCAGCGCTCTCGACAGCGTGCTGCAACAGATCGCGGGCAAGAAGCTGCTGGAAGCGGTTCATGTGCCGGACTTCTACGAGGGGGAGTTCAGTGTGGACTGCTGCGAGGCAATGGCCGGCGTGGGCATGCTCCACGTGGGCATCAACAGCATCGGCCAGAAAAACTATGTCCTCGCCAATGTGAGCAATCATATACCCACGTTCCTGAATCGCCTGCTCGGCTGCCGGCTGGAGGTGCAGACCGCCCTGTTCAAGTTTTTCCTCAACAAGATGTACGCCCTGATGCTGCAGGTGAAGCGCACGCGTCACTTCAACATGGGCATCATAGATCTCGACGTGCATGGCGCCATTGTGACGGTGGCCAAGCTCATCAGCTTCCGACGCACCTATGTTTCGGGCACTGCGACCACAGAGCTGCACACGATCGAGGTGGAGCGCGGTTTGTCCTTTGACTCAGCGGTCACTGAGTAAGTCAGCGCCTCAAGTGACTGAATCTATTTCTGTTTCTATTTCTCTCGCCCCCAGGTTCAAGAAGAAGGCGCGTCAGGCGCACGAAGGCTTCTACATACTCCATCAGAAGCGCAACAACAACAACTGCGCCATTTTGTGTGTGAACCCCGAAACGGAAGAGGAGCCCACGGAGGAGCCAAGCGACCCCAGCAAGATCAACCTGGTTATTATCCGACCCAATACGGGCGCCCAAGTGCGCACCGAGCTGCTCAGCTCTCTGCTCAGCCGCTATGTGAAGGCCTCGCCCAAGGCCGCACAGCCCTTCTGGGACCTGCAGTACAGTAAGTGCCTACACATCTGCTCGCACGTCTATTGGAGCTGCAAGTGTCCCTACGGCAAGCGCTGCGGCCTTGGTCTACGCGTGCGCGCCTACCACGTCCTCTCCGGTCTGATGCTGGCCATTTGGGAGCGTGTCGCCATGATTATCGAGAAGAACGGCCGACAGATGCAGATGGTGCGCGTCAAGACCAGCTCGAACAAGCGCATCGTGGGCGTGATGATACCAGAGTTTGCCTATCGTCGTGTTGTGGCCGATCTGTCGTGCGATGCCATAGTCGAGAGCAAGGATTATACCAGGATCTAGTGCGTGCAGACGGAACACATTTTGCTGGCGCATCCAATAGTTGCAACTATTTTCCCCAATTTATATTTAGGCTTAGAGTTTTTTTGTTTTTGTTTTAAATGATATTTTCTGCTTCTCTAATATAATAATTTGTAATTTGCACTTTTTGAAATACACGTAATTTCGTATTTAAATTTTCGTTCCATTTTGATTGGAATGCCCCCACGGGGATATTACTTCGATTAAGTCTTCAATATTCATCTTAATTTTGCTCATTTTCGCTTTCCCAAAAAATTTCCATTTGATAAGCTCGCAATTTGTCGCTTGACCGCCAGGTGGCGCCCAACACGGCTTAATTACAACTTGAGCAATTGAATTTGTGTTCGAAAAGCACTTGCTGCGGCTGCTGGGCGTGGCAGGGTCCATTGCCTCAAATTGCCGGCGATGCTGTGTGCCGTTACGCCCCATTAACAAGGGGTCCAGCATATTCAATATGCATATACATATATATCTATATATATATATATGCTCATACATACACATATTTATGTCTTTATATATGTATGTGTGCGTGTATTTGTGTGTATATCTATAGATAAGTGCTTCTAGATACAGCGCCAAACACATTAAAATTCAACCTTCGATTTCGGATTCAATAAGCAAAAGTGCCACACCTACCAACAACATCAACAACACCAACCACAACAACAACAACAACAACAACAACAGCAGCAGCAGCAACACAATGCAGAGATTTTTTCGGCTCAGATTCTGTGACATTTTGAAGAACCTAGCAGAGAGTATATGCCTGTTTTATAGTCCAGTCTGTAACGCGCTATATCTGTGAATAATCTATCAATATATATATATATATATATAAGCTCCCATATATCCTTATTATACAAGTCGATATCTATATCTATATCTATATCTATATCTATATCTATATCTATATCTATATCTATATCTATATCTATATCTATATCTATATCTATATCTATATCTATATCTATATCTATATCTATATCTATATCTATATCTATATCTATATCTATATCTATATCTATATCTATATCTATATCTATATCTATATCTATATCTATATCTATATCTATATCTATATCTATATCTATATCTATATCTATATCTATATCTATATCTATATCTATATCTATATCTATATCTATATCTATATCTATATCTATATCTATATCTATATCTATATCTATATCTATATCTATATCTATATCTATATCTATATCTATATCTATATCTATATCTATATCTATATCTATATCTATATCTATATCTATATCTATATCTATATCTATATCTATATCTATATCTATATCTATATATATATATATATCCATGTCTAGGGGTAGGGTATCTTCACTTCGTCCTTGTCTACATGTTCCTCTCCACCTATTTTTTGTATTGTGTATTATTCCATAAGTAGAATTGCGTCGATGTCGCAGCTGCTAGATAGAAACGTTTGGGCCGACAGACACGCCCACGCGTGCTGCCCACTGCGTGCATGTGTGTGTGCTCGTGTGTGTGTGAACGTGTGTATTAATTTGTTGTGAAATTTTGTGCATTTATTTATTGTGGGTTTTTGTATTGTGTACTCCAGGCTTGTACGTATGTATGCATATGTAGGTATGTATGTATGTATATGCATATATATGTATGCGTGTACATACTTATAAAGCACGTATATTCATATATAGAAATGTCCTATTTAGTCTTGAGCTTGCTCTGAGTCTGGCTGAATGCTTTTATAGCTAACAAGATTAGTTATATGGAGGTTGTTGTATTTTCTACTTCTTCTTCCGCTTCTCCAATGCCAAATTACCTTTTGTAAATATTTCAGGAAACGCTTAAGCCAAGAAAAAGAATTTGTTAATCGTTAAATTTTACTTTTTGTTAAGAATAAAAAATAAGGCAAGCTTAGTAGTTGTCCTTAAGAGAAAATATTGAGAAAGGAGGAGAAAGCGAAATAGACTCATCATCATAATGATCTTCCAATATGATCTTGATGATGCAATAGCTAAGCCAGGCTTTAGCTCCTCTCGGCCGAGCCAGAGCCAATTGAATCAGATTTACGCAGTGTGCAGAGTATTGGGCAGTCAGCTAAGGCCATGTGCATTGCCTCCACTTCTTCATTTACCTTCTCAAGCAATTTTCCATTCAGCGTTAAGTCAACTTTTGATGCCATTTGCAGACACTTTCTGCACGCACAAAGACAACTCATCTGTAGGCGAGTGGCCCATAAAACAATAAAAGCTTCAACTATAAACATTTGTCCATCAATTTAAGAGACACTAGACCAACTAGAGCAAGCTGCATAGAAATCATTTTCGACAAAGCTGAGTGTCGGAACTGCTTAAAGCTGTATTAAGTGCATATTTTAAGTATTTATATTTATTTATTTATATTTCATAGTGGATGTTTTTTAGAGCCACACAACTTTGAGTTGGCAACACAGCTTTATTCAATAACCCAGTTAAGTGTTTTTAGCTTTTTTTTATTGAATTTAGCTTGACATTTATTTGTAGATCTTTGGCAGAGCAATCCTAGCAAATTGCTGAAATTGTTTATCGAAATAAAGCTTTAAATTTATCATTCACTGCGCTTATAATAATGACGTACATTTTTGGTTATTGCTAAATTGTCACATTTTAAGTAAGAATAATCCAAAAGCTGCTGTCGAAATTCCAATACATCCACAGAAAATAACAGTTTGGTGCGCTTCATGGACTGGCGGTAAAGACGATGGTCATGATTGAGCTAATTATGGAAATTGGTCTTCCGTGTTTTGTTTTGTTTTAGTTACATACAAAAACATTTATGTCATACAATTTCTTATTCAAATAAGCTCAATTCATGTATATAGAAAATATATTAGTTTGTTTTAATATGATTTGAACGTATGTAACTCTAAAAAAAACACGCTCTCTAAAATTATAAACTCTTAAATCATGCTAAAGACAAAGTATCGATAATATGGAAATAGAATGTGTTATCGATAAATATATTATAAACTTTCATTATAAGTCTTTATCTCAGTTATCTAGTTCCCTTGGCCATCATTATATTGATATACGGACAGTTAAATTTACTTAAGCTGAATTTATATCTGCACTATTGTGTATAGGATCTGCCACGCTTATCTCTTACTTCTGAGATATCCAGAACCTTCCAGTTCTGTCAATCAATTTGCAATGCTGCAAGCACTTGAGAGTCATGTGCCTAAATTGAAGAGCCGAGATCTGAATACAAGTCCATGTGGATGTCAAACTGATTAAAAATTTAATCAAATCTAAATATATTAATGTACTTTGCTGAGCTGTAAGAAATCTATTAAGAAATGTTGATACGTTAACTATCGAGTTGGCAGCTCATGAGCATGTCTTGAGCCAGTTGATAATTAAGAAAAAAAGTTGCTCGAGACTAATTGAAAATGCACAGAAAATTGCGCTTAAATGCAGCAATTAGTTGCAGCACTCAAAATTCGCGCAAGTTTTCTTCTATTTCTTCTATTTTCAAGCAGCTGAAAACTTCATAAGTTTTCTTGGCTTGGGCAATGCTGCGTATACGCAACGCGGCCAAAGGCGCCTGCTACCAGTTGCCAGTTTCCAGTTGCCAGTTGCCACTTGCGCAGGAAATGCCTAAGCTTATCAAACGAACTTATCGGGCCCACAGACAGAGTCGAGCTGAAATTAAATTTGCGTGGCAATCAAATTGTGAATTGCAGCTCAATTGCTGACGGCTTATGTAAAATGCGACGCGATTAAGCGACAAATCATACGACGCATAAATAATTGCGCAGGCCGCCCGGCCACCGGGCCACCAATGCACCATGTTGCATGACTATCTGTCGCGTCAGGCTATACAACGCACTTATACGCTTTCCACACTCTTAATAAACTTAACAAATATATTTGTTAAGAATTTGCTTAAGCACATGCAATTTCATTACGTTTTCCTAAACTTAATAATTAATTTTAAATTGAACTATTTAAATTCCATCAAATTTAAGTTCCATCAAGCTAACAGTTTTCATGTCTGTTAAAAAGCAATCTGTCATAGCTTCGCGCTGTTAACGATCTGCTCTGCTATTGGCTGCTTCGCTAACAGTGACTGTAGTAATCTGCAGTGATCTGCTCTGGCAATGTTCTTATCTGTTAAGCCGCTGCTCTGCTGCGAAGTACTGAGTCTCTCAGCAGTGTGCTCTTTGAGCTAATTTAATCATGAGAAAGCGCTGCTAATGCTCTGTATGCGAGCAGCCTGCTGTTAACGCAATAGTGAATGTTAAATATATTTGAGTGTTTGTCAATGCATGCAAGCAGGTTGATGAAAGAAATTCAAATAGCTTTAAGCCAATTACAGCAGCTAACAAGCCAAGCCTATATGCATACATCATTTCGTTCCTTCCATGCAAAGAGTATTCAGCAAAACAATGTGTTGAAAGACTGTGCAGCTTTGCGGCTTGCGAATTGCAACAGTTTCGCGGCGACCTGATTTCTGAACGGGCTACGAGAGGCCTTAGGCGTTGTGCGTTGATGTCAAAAACAATCTCTATGACGTTGCCGTTGTCACTGTTGTTGTTGTTGTTGTTGCTTATCGACTGCCTTTTAATTAAATTAGTTTGATTTTTATTTATATTTGCATTTATAGCCACAATAATTTCGGCTATCGCACTGCACAGCGTCAGGGCAGCCATACAAAGCAAAAGAAGAAGAAGAAAAAAGAGCGAAAAAATATATAGGAAAAAACCCGTAAAAACGTTTCTGATTGGGAATATTTTTGGCCAGCAGCTGCTTAATTGAGTTGCTTTATTAGTTTTTGTTGACCGAAAAGGCAGTTGGCCGAGAAGCCCGGTGGCATGTGCTCGCAATTTGCGTCGTCCATTCGCAGTCGAGTCTGAGAATGGAAATCTGGAGGTGAACCTGAATGGTCTACAGAGAGAGAGAGAGAGCCAGCGAGCAACTGTTTGATATGTGAGTCCAAGTTTATCTTAACAGAGCTTACAGCTTCTTGATATAGATGTAGATCTATAAAGAGTATCTG